CATATTTAATTGTTCGTAATATGCAACATTCTATATACATATACAGTATGTATTATCTTATCATTTTTAGATTGTATCTATATAGTATTGTCTTTTAATATTTTATTCTATTAAATTCGTATAAACATATTTCTCGTACCTATTATTCGCAGATTTTCCATTTGACCCAAAGGTTGACTGGTAGAGAATGCCATATGGCATTAAGTCCGCCTTTTGTACCAACTTCATTTAATTGTGTACAATAAAGCATAAATAAATAAATAAATAAATAAATAATTTGTATGAACTATTACACACATAGATTTATTGGAAACTTCTAAGAAGGTAGTGAAGCAGGCACTAATTAAGTACCTATCTATTACAAGAAACCATACAATGAAGAGTAATAAGTTTAGAAGTTTTGACTAGAATTTATTATCTTTTCTCTATAACCTAGGCATAAAATGATTTTTATGGAAAAATTTAAATATTATAAACACAACAAAACAGATAGGTAGCACAAAGGCAGGTACCGAGACATACCTACCTACCTACTAACTTAGTCACACACTCATCACATGTGTTCATCACACTTCTGTTATACAAAATTATGTTCCTAGATAGGTAAGTACATAGGAGAATTTATAATCGTTTCTCTATAAGCGACGCATTAAATGATTTTCTGTGGAAAAATGTTATTATTTTAAACAGACCATAAAACAGATTGCACAAGGGCAGGTAGACCCTACTAACTTTCCCGAGATAGGAACATAATTTTGTATAACAGATATGTAGGAGGTAACCCTCCACATACGGTTGGGATGGGCCCTGTGCATATAAATGGTGTTGTAGGTTTTTTCAGAAATCATCAAATAACATTTCTCACCTTTTTGGGGCCACAGAGAGTGTGACTCTTATAACTCAAAACCTCCCCATTATTGTTCCTGCTCTGTGCCAGGGCCGCGGTACCGCGATAGCCGCTTGCCCCGGTATGACCTCGAAGTAGCTCCACGATTTTTAAAAGTTTAATCATGAGTGAGAAGATACTTTTAGTTTTTTTATGTAATTGGTCGGCAAACGAGCAGGCGGATTGCCTGATGGTAAGCAATCAGCGCCGCCCATGGACACCCGCAACGGAGGAGTTACGAGTGCGTTGCCGACCTTTTAGGGATTAGGGATTTGGGATTTGGAGATTAAGGATTGAAGAGGGATTGGGGGCGTTGAAGGATTGGGCCTCCGGTAACCTCACTCACACGGCGAAACACAACGCTTTGGTTGTTTCACACCGGTCTTCTGTGAGGCCGTGGTAGGTATCACTCAGGTCGAGCCGACCCATTCGTGCCGAAACATGGCTCTCCCACACTTAACAATGATTCCCTTTTTTATAATGACAACTTATAACAAACAGTTACCTACGTAACTGGAGGTCTTCCAAGGTACCTTTTACTCTTCATTGCATTCAAAAATAAATAATAATAAAATTCAATCAAACGTCTTCTTCTATTTGAAAGTGTCGGTAGGTACCTACTTATACTTAATAAGTAATAATACTGACTGACTACATGTTTGCAACACACAAAATATTAGATTAAGTGCCTACAATAGGTAGTTAGGTACAGATAAAAACGCTTCACCTCCTGAGGTTCTTAGCACCTATTACAGTTAGCCAAGTAATCTGGCAAGTAGGTATGCAGATAACAGTAGGTAGATATTAGGAATATCTAATAGGGATGACATCTATTTATTTTTTACCTAACAGGTGAATGAAGCATTCATACCCCTTCCCAAAAGAGATTACAACTGAACATATACCTACCTATCTAAAACAAATGAATGTCTTACACCATTAATAAACAAACGTTCTCTACTTAGGTCTAATTAATACTATTATTTATTACCTCTTCATAAGGTCGCTTTTATATTTTTCCCAAACTAAAGCGAAGCGAGACATCGTCATCGCACATTTCATACTATTGATTTTGCATTCGACTGACTACAGTTTTATCAATTAAAGTCTCAACAGATTATGAGACAGTGAGAGAGGACTGTATGATTTTTAGCTGACTAAAACAACACCTAGTACCTCCAGCTCCTATTAGAATCGCCAGGAAAACTGATACAACAAACCAGTATTTTATTTTATGTCATAAGAAGGTAAAGAGCCCGTGTATTATGAACCTGATGGTAAGCAATCGGGTGCTGCCCATGGACACCCTCAACGTTGTGTAGTTAATAACTTAACTACTACGCAGTACGGACCATACCACAGACCAGATAAAAGCGAAACCTTCTTTATTTGTTCTGTAAGACATACTGCTATGTGTATCTCTTCGCTTTAATTTGGAATTGTATTATTACTAGGTATTATAATACAAATATTTAAACTACACACTATACATCAAAAGATTTCATATAAAAACTTTGGCACTGTGACCTTATGAACTATATCTTTAAAATACTATGGGACTGTGAAAAATTAATAGGTAGAGGTTCATATAAGTGTGAGGTTAGGTACAATTTTACCGTTAAATATAAATTATGTAGATCATTATATACTTAACATGATCAGTGTCATTGTAAAATGCTTACAACTAAATACTTATTAGTGTATTTTATTTCACTTATAAATGTTGACACAAAACAGACAACATCTATTACCACAACGCTAAAGGAAGTACTTTATCATATTTTGGAGATTCACTTAAACTTATCAAATAATAATTATACCTAGGTACAGTGCGGCCGACGTATCTTGGCGAGTCTGAATTTAGCCGATTAGCTGCGCAGTACACACTTTTGTTCCTAAAAGATCCATTGCGCAGACAAACGGCTAACTTCAGACTCGCCAAGATACGTCGGCCGCACTGTACTATACTTATGTTGGTATTACAGGGCTGATTGTATTCTACCAAAAACCGGTGGTGCTGAGTCTATGTAAGTAGGTATGTTTCTTTTCTAAATATTAAATTCTATTATATTTTGTGAATTAGGTAAGTTAATCTAAATAAGTTGGTGAATCTCTGTTATTATGTGGGTACTAAAAACTAAGCAGCAAAAGTTGAAAATGTGCAGGTACAATCAGCACATTTATTTGGTATACAGGTAATAAAAAACAAATTAAGTAAGTCAATATAGATAATGTAAACAAATCACTTTAAACGTTCAGCTTTGGGTGTTTTTATTTCTTTGTTATTGTTGTAACCTGCTTACATCTGTACCTACAATTACAAAAAAATTATAATAGAACTGATTTTATCATTTTTATATTTTGATTAAAAGTGTTGGTGTTAATTGTATCCTTTACTATTACTTACCTATCTGTATCTACAGACATGCATCATGGGGTATATTATAAATACCTACAAATATTAAGTGCAATGCAATTAAATCAATAATAGTGAAACCGTTTTTATTATATTTTTTGTTTTCAAAATTCTATTTAGTCATTTTTTGTCTTGTTAACATGATTACCTACTATTGTACCTACTTGGCTGGTTTTTCGTTTGCGTTTAGACTAAGGATATCTCTCTATTGTTGTTTGAATGATGTACAGAATCCCCCACCTACTCAATTTTGTTAAGGAGACCCAGAAAAGACCATCAGGACCAAAACATTTTTAATGAAATATCAATACCTACTTACTATTAATTTATATAGCGCATACCTGCACAGAATACATACATAAATGTATCGTACCTTTTTCTAAATTTATTTGGTATGCGCTGGCAGTATTTTTAAACACATTTAATATCGCAGAACCTTAATACTGTGCGGATATTTTTTTACATTAAATAATTTTATCTCATGACTTACAGTCTTCATTTTTAATGTTTTTAAATTAATAACATTTTTTATATTAGACACCTAAAGTAATTTAAAACAATAGCATATATATATAATTAATTAATTAATTATACAATACATGTTTATTTGTGCTATACTAATTATTGTTTTATCTACCTCATTCTTATCAAGGTAACAATGATGCATCCAGATTTGGCTTCAATAAATGTAGGTAGGTCTCATAAAATCACGCCTCTTAAGCCCAAAAGGATTATGTAGATCATTGATTTAAAATAAAAAGTTGCCCCACACTAGGATTTTCACTACCATCGTGGATAAGCATGCAAATATACAAGTTCACATACACATTATCACCACCCAGATCCATTATGGTGCATACCTGCATCGAATACATACATATAATTTTTTGGCAGTCATGCTAGCGTTCACGCACAGTGAATAATAAAATCGAATTACAATTATCATTACCTTGCTAAGAACAAAGTAGTCACATATTAATTTTAACTTCCTCCACATTTTACTTTCAACAACTTAAATACAGTACCCGGCAATAAATACTGCACATCTCCCTTAGGACAAAGTTAACACATTCAGTGCCCCCGACGCGTATGTGCGTTTCCTCGCACGCACATACGCGTCGGGGGCACTGAATGTGTTAAATAACCGGCCATGTCACCGTGTACGTGCTTTGCTCATAATTAGAGCCGGTAAGAGTCGAGAACATTATCACATCATCACCCTATAAGTGCCTACTGCCGAGCAAAGACCTCTTCTCACACGGAGAAGGTTTGAGTACTTATTAATCATTACGCTTGCTTGTTTTGTTAAAATAAACGTTGTCCGGTGAGGTTACAAACATACAATTTCAAATACACATGATACCCAGACCCAAAGCCCAACTCTTCTCGAATCTAATAATAGCAATCTACTAATAGTACCTATAAAATAATTAAAAAAAATGTAATGAGAAAATGTAGGTACGGATGAATCTATGTTTGTTATTCCTTCACGCAAAAACGGCTGAACCAATTTAGTTGAAATTCGGTAAGTATTTAGATAGGTGACGCCCTGGTTTAACTCTGGCAGGGTGCTTTTCAACAACATACCACGCGGACGAACTAAACCGAACCGCGAGATGAAGCTATTTCAGAATATAATTGTCTCTTTCCAACAGCGAATGTGTAAGATTTATTGCCGGGCACTGTAATTACTCACATTTAGACGGAAGCCCTCTCAATGAGTTCTGGTGTGAGCGCGAGTGACACGCGGCGGTGGAGGCGATGCGGGCGCTGCGGGGCCTCCAGTAGGGCACCGCTTTCACACTGCTTGTTACCCAGACAGTTACATGAACATACCTGGAATTCATACACAAAATAATTATCAAAATTATTTTATTTGTATTCTTTGAGAAAAGAAAAGTTTAAACTAGCGCCAGGATTCTCTCTCCAATAGAATCACGGCAACTTACAGGATGTGCGAGGGCTGTTACTTGTGGATATGGATGTGACGCATATTTTCCCCCTAAAATTAACTTGACTAAAAAGTTTTTAAGCCTTTTTCTCTAGGCCGAGGGCGCGGTACCTCATTACTCGCAACTCGCAACCCCAGCTGTGGTTTTTTATGACATGGCTTTAATTTTATGTTTTTTTTTCACCCAGACCCGAAACCACAATTTGTGGATCACAGAAAGCGTTGTTCCGTGCGGGTATCGAACCCGCGACACGTACAGCAGCCAGATGCCCAGCCACAGCGCCAAGCGTGCAGTCTAATTTTATTAACTGTTTTTGTCTGTATTTTCCTCTTTGTATTTGTTGATGGCAATAAATGTGTGCCTTCCTTTTTTAGTATAAGATAATATTATTATAGCGCGAAAGTTGTTAAAAGGATTATAGTTTGGATTTTTTTTTACCTCCATAGGCTAGTTTTTATTTTATCCATATCACGCTTAATATTTACTAACACATGCAGGTGCATACAACCAGAGAATATTCGAGAGAGGGGAAAGCGTTAAAAATACATACTTAGAACAAAAACCTCTAAAAATATCTCAGTGAGGTTTATATTTTTGTAAAAATTGTGAACAATCGAAGCTTTCGCCCTCACAGCGCAGTTATCACTCATTCCACAACCAGAGAAGGTACGGATGGATGAAATTTAGATAAGACAGCTATTTGAGTAACACATTATTATTTTCAAGTATATCTGTGGGCCGATCCCGGCGGCACTGCAATGCCGGGCCGACCCGTGACGGGAGTGGAGCGAGCCCCGAACATCCCATCAGTTTACAAAAATCAGTTTAATATACTGGTCCCTCAGTGAGGGAACTTTCAGATATTAAGCTGAAAAGAACAGATACTACACTTTGATCTTAGCCAAAAGGCCGAGAAGCGATAACTACCTGTAGAAAACCGAGGAGGGTCGTTCAATCGCGGAGAATCTTAACACCGCGATTCAGAAATGCGCGTCATCAGCACAGTGACATCTAACGGCGTAAAATGGAACTCGCTCTCAGTGACTAACCTCAAAATAAGACATGAGGAGTAAACTTGTACTAACCGATGCTTGATCGTCGTGAGATCTCTGTCTGCCCATTATAGGATGTTCATCTATAGGCAGGAGAGTTCTGGACCCATCTTTATCTTCTTCATCGCGGGCTGCGTCTTCAGCTTGCCTAGAAAACAAAATTTTACAAATATGCTACATTTTGCTCTTACTTTTTTTGTAGGAACTTATTTCATTATTTTATTTTCTAATATAATTTCAGATGGCTAGGTTAAACAGTAGTAATTTTTTAATAGTCACTGATATTTGTTGCACTAAATTAAAACAATATAGTAAACATAACTACACAGATGTAAAAATAATTTAAGCTAAAAGTCTCATGAAAAATATTGCATTCTTGATGAGACTTTATCTATTGTTGAAACCTGATTAAAACTAGGTACATAAAGTAAAAACTATTGCTAATATTAGGTACATAAATTAATTATTACTTATACACTTTAATAACTCAATCAGTAGAATTTTAGAAAAATAGTTTTCAAATATATTTTCATACTCACATAGTCATGAATCGTAGAACTAATAAATTGATGCTAGCAGCAACCACGGCTAGTCCGAACAGAATGAACACTAAGCTCAGAGCCACATACCCAGGCTTGCTGGTCAGGGCTTGATCGTTCTGGAAGTAACACATCATCATATTATAGAAAAAATCTATTTTTTATTTTCTTAGCTTCTCTTACTCTACAAAACAGTAGCCACTGTGATAGGCGTACGTAAAGAAATAGCTGATTTATTGTTAGTTCAGCCTCATTTTGTCCACTGCTGGATATAGACCTCCCTAATGCCCGCCACTGAGCTCGATGTTTAGCTCTTTTCATCCAACCATTACCGGCTACCCTGCGGATATCGTCAGTCTACGTAGCCGGGTAGCCACCAGCTTGGTGGACTGGCGATATGGCTTGATGGACTGGTTTAATAATTACATAAAGTATAGTATGTAATTTATATTATAAAAATGAATCACAAAATATGTTGGTAAGCTCATACAACACCTGGACCAATTTGGTCAATTTTTTCTGTTCGTTATGGTCAGTAGAAGGTTCTTATCAAAGAAAATATTAGAAAAGTAAAAGGGAAAAATTGGGAAAAAGTGACCTTTTCGTTGTTAGAGAGATAGTTGGACCCGTGCGAAGCGGGCGCGGGGCGGCCGCTAGTTGTTAATAAAAGTAAAAAACAAAACTAACTTCATATAAATACTATTTATAATAATTTCTATCAATTAAAAAATTTACATACATAGAATTTTGATAACTAATTGTGTGCATTTTTAACTGTTGCATAAAGGTGCCATCTCAATGACCTCACTCAGTATTATACATAATATCATAGACTGGAACAATATGCCCCAGGCATTTATAAGTCCGCCATTGTGCTATTGTGTGCAGATAGCATTTTTTTTAATGATCATTCATTATGAATTTTGTATTGATTGGTATCCAGTATAGTAGTGATTGATATCCAAAATTTTAACAATATTTATTGAATAATTGTAAACAGTTCAACATATTTATTATATGCATAATAAAAACATACCTGCAAGGCGACATAATCACCGAATCCGATAGTAGTTAGTGTAACGAAACAGTAATAGAAACTATCAAAGTAGCTCCAGCCTTCGTAGCGCGAAAACACAGCAGCACCTGAACAAAATATTATTATTACATTAGGCGTTTTATTATTTTAACATTAAATTTACATTTATAGAGCTTTTATTATGTTTTATGACATAAAATAGTGATCAAAATACCTAATATGAATTGGCTAAGGTGTTTGATTAGTATTAGAACTCAAGTAGACACACTAATTAATATATTTATTAAATCGCCTGACAATTTTATCATAGCAAACTTCTAACGATCAGTCGCCATTTTCTTTACCCTTCATTTATTAAGTTTTTAATTCAATAACATCATCATCATCATCATTCTTTAAACCATATTACAAATTACCTGTAGTTATAATTATGGACGAGAGCATCCCAGTAGCAAACATGAGATTCATTTCAGTTGCTTCTGTAGTATTACACCGAAGGTAGCACTTGGCTCGACGTATCACTACCGACGCGAACTTATTCAGACGCTCACCAATACTCTGGAACATTACCAGGCCTAAGGGAATACCAACCTGGAATTGAAGAGGTGTCTATAGTTATTTAGGGCTTTAGAAATGGGGTAGAGACGCTTGAAAATCTCAGCTCTACCCAGAAAAAAATATATTGTTATATAATATAATATAATGAATAGTGATCCTTGAAGAAGTAGAAAAATGTAGGTGCTTAGTAAGTCAGCTATTTATATCTGAGACACATATGAGAAATTGAGCAAAATCTTTTTTTTAAAGCATGAGGACTATAGAGCAATAATTGTTAAAGGTGTTTTATACCTATGTCTTTCTATTTTGGCAAAAGTGATATTAAAGAATACTATTTGACCTATTTTTATCTTAATACATTTATAGTAGAACCATCTTACCATTGCATAAGCCATACAAAATGCTTTTCCTCCATAAGTGACAGGTGTAGAGTGCCCGTAACCGATCATAGCCAATACTACAGTAGCAAAGTAAAAGGCTCCGGCAAACTTCCACTGAGGTCCAGCTTTGTGTGGCTTGTTCTCAATGATAACTATCTCTATCATATGGTAGTCTTCAGGTGTTATGTTATATCTACGTATTAAACCGTTTCTCATGTCTGGAAATTATGAGTGAAAATATTATTTTTAATATTGAGGAGATAATTTATAACATCAATTGACTGGTATCTAAGCTAGGCATAAGATTTATTTCAGGATACCAAGCATTTCCTAGATTTAATTAAATTTACCATTTTCTATATAAATTGGTTGTTTAATTTCTTTTTAATTTTGGGGTATTAAATACTTCACAGTAGCTAATCAGCTGTAGTGTGTGTGACACCTTTCTCCGTTTTTTAGAAAGAAAAAGTTCAAATAAAGAACGTTTGCGTGCTTACCAGACAGTACTTCCCATCGCTTACTCTCCGTTTCGGACTCCAAAGCATCGAAAACTGCGGCACCGATCAACAAATATGTAAATGTGCAGACCACAAGGGATAGTGTGCGGACGTTTTGCCGCTTCATGATCACAACCAATAATCTTAAATCGCTCGCAAAATATTTAATAATAATTCAGCCTCGCACCATGATCTGCAACCAGGAAAATTATACCTACGCTTAATTGCTTTCATAATACAAATATAATCTTTAATAACAGACACGAGTTGGTTGATATTATTTTTCTTAAATAAATCACGTAATAAATTGTTACTTTTACGTAAATCACTACAAATTACCAATAATAATGTAATTTATTTCTCACGTTGTTTATGACACTTATCACTTAATTAAATTTTAAACACCTTAAAATAATAATAACATACACAGAATGGAAGATATTTAATAAATAAAGTATTATACAATAAATTTTTAACTAGAAAATGTTTCAGTCAATAATTTGAACAATAGTGTGTTTGATTGAAATATTTGTGTACACTTCCTTATTTGTAAACAAGAGCTGAATAGTGTATGGTGTTGTGAAAGCAATGTATACTGAAAAATTGCGTTTCAGATTTTTAGATTTGAGACATTTTTTTTCTATTATTGTAGATTCAGTCATATGTATAGAAAACAAAAGTTGTTGAAAATGGTTTTTACACAGGATTAAATATTTTTATTTTGAGAATGCTTCGTGTTTATAGTGTTTGTGAGCCGATTTCTTTTACAAAGCAGCATGCAATCGCCTGGTAAAATTGTTGCCTCGGTTTGGCTGCTTGAAACGAATCGCAATTGTCATACGTCAAAATGACAATAATTTGTCAACGCGTCATTTTGACATTTGCTACAATTTCCTCTCGTGTGGGATTGTTCGGCGAGTGCATGCGACTACTCCCGAAATAAATACTATTACTGTAAAACAAGTGCATAAACTGCTTTGAAATGAAAGTTGCGTGCAGTAAATCCAACCCACCGCTAGGTAAAGTGCAATGTTTAATACATATTTCTTCAAATTGCATCAGCTGAGTGAACTAGGTTTAAAATAGCCTATAACTTCGATTTTACAGGTGGTTTGCTCGCTGTGGAGTTCTACAAGTCCTCAGCAAAACAAGTGGAAGTGACGTGGGATGGCGATTCCTATGTAGTTATGCCAAATTCGTCTAAAAAGGTGCCATATGCTACCAGTAATGATCTGATAAGAATTCTGGAAAATGCTTTCAATAAAGCCGCGGAACCACTTCAGAGAGTTACTATGAATCATTGGCTTTCATTCAGCCTGATCCTAGAAGATGAGATCCCCAAATCCATTGATTATTTGGACAAAACTCTGGGGCCTTTAACCTATTTGGTGGGAGAATCATTATCAGTGTCTGACTTGGCAGTCTTTAGTATTTTGTATGGTAAGTGTTATTATCTAAACAAGCATTATAACTATTAATCGTTATCTTTTTATGATCTCAATAAAACATTTTGTTAATGAATTTAGAACATTGATTAAAGATTGTATGATACAAACACTGTTACAAATAAAGTACACCATGTATATTCCAAAAGTCAGTACTCCATTCATTATTGTATAATTTATCATGAACTTATTACAGGATCAGCCAGGTTTAAGGATGTATCAAAGAAAAACCCTCCTAAAAACATTCTCCGCTGGATGAAATTGATAGAAGCTCAGCCATGTGTTGCTACAGTACTTAAAGAACTGCCTGCTGAGGTCCTGAGCAATATCAGCAAGGCTTCATCAAGGTTTGTGGTGTATTTTTGCTTTGAATTTTTTTTTTACACGTAAATTAATATAAATGTTTTGAAATAGCAGTTTCCATAATCAATATTTCATAATAATAATAACTTGTTGGTGAAGTGTGTAAGTATACAATCTCTTTAGATTTTTACTATCAATAATGTGAGTTTGAGTTTTGTTTGTTCAACAAGACCTATTTTTTTCCTATTAGAATCCATTATGGTCTGACTTTTTGCAATCCCTTTGCTACTAAAATATTTGTCTACAATTAGACATTCTTAAAATGGGAGGAGTAAAACTTGATGAACTTGTAAAAGATTTCTATTGAATCAAATTGGGAATCATTTATAATAAAAAATAATAGGTTACACCTCATGTAAACAAACAAATTAATGACTACAGTGAAGATTATTATGTTATTAAATCTTAGATGAGTACATAAGTAGTAAAATTTTTGTAATCCTATTCTTTTAAGTAAGTTCTTAGTCAATCAGAAATCATTATGAAATACTGAGTAGTGATGGATGTTAACAATATTGCTGTTATTTTCCTTATGTTATCATCTGTCTTATAATAAAATATTTAGGAGATTTATTATTTTTGCACTGATTTCAGTGTAGGAAAATTAAGAAACTAGATTTGTTTTGTTTTGGAAATGATGTTGTGTTCAGGTCTTACCCTGTTATAAAATAAAATAATTAATTTCACTGGAACAAATTTTAACTTTTGATTTTTGCAGAACAGTTCTATGCTAACAATAAGCTTAGGTTTTCATACCAAAACACTAAAAAAGAGGTTGATACAAATTAAAATATATCTTTTAGATTTTATGCTACTGAGTCCTCTTAAAAACTAAGTCTTTTGCAATTTTCCTTGTTTCAATCATCATGTAGGTACTTAAATTTATCATTTAAGTTTACCTAAAATAGTAGAAGAATTGAAAATGAAATCTTTATTTTACCCTCTAGGAAATCACCAGCAACCAATGAGGGTGGTTCAGGTCGTCAACAAGAGGGCAAGTTTGTTGAATTGCCGCATGCTGAGATGGGCAAGGTGGTCGTGAGGTTCCCCCCTGAAGCCTCTGGGTAAGTAGCATTTAAATATAATCTATTGACTAATTGACTAAAAATTTATCACCTAAATATAAATGAATTTGTAGACCAAAAGATTTTTTTTTCGCATTTGTTCTTAATAAATTTCATTTAACGGTTCACTCACGTAACTGATGTCAGATTCGCCGCGTCGTATGTTAATGCGCATGTTGTGCGATATTCATAAATATGAGCCCCTGGTATAGCTTGAAACTAGTCGAGTTATCTCATTTAGTGAGTCAAAAAGATTATAGTTGATTCTTGAAGGTTTGAAGTATTTAGTCTGTCCCAGAAATTGTTTTTCTGGATTTGGACTATTGTGTGATGTTTATGTGAATTTGTATGTTTGTTTACACACAGAAGAAATTGTTGGGTAATTATTGCTTATTGTTGGGTAATAATTATTTTATATTGATATTGTTATTCTAGTTTCCTCCACATCGGTCACGCTAAGGCCGCCCTCCTGAACCAGTACTACCAGCAGGCGTTCCAGGGCAAACTGATCATGAGGTTTGATGACACCAACCCTGCCAAGGAGAATGCTGAGTATGAGAAGGTGATTTTATCAATTCACTTTTTAAATCCCTTCCCATTTTGTATTAAGTCATGTATTTTAATACTAAAAGAAGATGTTGCGACCATGAACTCCACTCACCCCATTCCTGCCCGTCCTTAAATCTCCAAAACTCCTTATCTGCAAAGACCGACAACGCACAGGTTTCCTTTACATTGGTGTCAAAAAATAATGCCAGGAAGTGTTAATAACCCACAATAATCACTTTGTGACTTGCACGGTTTAAAACCTTAAGTTACAAATTGAATATGAACGCCTGAACTTCCAGGCTACCACGAAATTATATCGATAATATTTTCTATACTTATATTATAAAGCTTCAGAGTATATTTGTTTGTGTGCTCGGACGCGCTGATCTCTGAAACTAATAGTTTAAATTGAGTAATACTTTTTGAATTAGATAGACCATTTATCGAGAAAGCCCTACGATAAATATCATTGATTTCTCCAGGTAATCCTAGAAGACGTAGAGATGTTGGAGATCAAGCCGGACCTATTCACTCACACCTCTCAGTACTTCGACCTGATGCTGGACTACTGTGTGAAGCTCATAAAGGAGGGCAAGGCATTCGTCGACGACACTCCTGCAGAACAGATGAAGAACGAGAGAGAACAGAAGATTGATAGCAAGAATAGGAATAATTGTGAGTGTTTTGTTTATTACTTATATGTATTTTCTTTATGGCTTAGGTCGGCAAACGAGCAGACGGATAACCTGGTGGTTAGCAGCCAGCGCCGCCCATAGACACTCGTAATAGCAAAGAGTCTCTAGTGCATTGCCGACCTCTTGTCGGATATTAGGAGTTGTGCTTCGCTGTGTGAGTGAGGTTACGTTTGTAACTCGCCTGTTCATTGCCCTTTTTTTGAACTTTGCCACTCATTAGAATTTTCTCCTGTGTCGTGGGTGCGGTTACAAACATACAATTTCAAATACACATGATACCCAGACCCGGAACAACGATTTGTGGATCACGCAAAGAGTTGTTCCGTGCGGGACTCGAACACGCAACACGTTGCACGGCAGCCAGTTGCCCAGCCACTGCACCAACGTGCAGTGAAACAGTTCAACCTTGTTGCGAATGCCCATGCCCAACCTTGTTGCAGGTGCCGATTGATTACCATCAGGCGAAAACAGCTTAATGTCATTTATGTTATAAAAGTATTCAATTAATCAATCTATTCTCACTCCGCAGCTGTAGAGAGGAACTTAGAACTATGGGAGGAGATGAAGAAAGCTAGTGATATTGGTGTGCAGTGCTGTGTGAGGGCTAAGATAGATATGCAGTCTCCTAACGGATGCCTTCGAGACCCGACCATATACCGCTGCAAGCCTGAAGTACATCCACGTACGGGGACACAGTACAAGTATGTACATCTTTATCTATACTAATGTTATGAAGAGGTAAAATTTGTTAGTTTATCTGTAGGGGGTATTCTTAAGAACCGCTGGTCAGATTTCCAACATTCTTTCAATGATAGCTTAAATTTCTAAGGGCTATAGGGAATGTAAATTATACTTGATTTATGTATTTTATTCGAGCCATCGCTTTTAAAATGGCTGTTTATAAAATTACGGGTTTAAATTTCTTTTTTAACATGCGAAGCCGCGGGTGGCAGCTAGTTCTATACATATATTATTATTATTACATAGTATAAAACATAACAAAACAAAATCTTTAAAACTACGCAACTGAATTTAATTCGTTGGTATTATAGACAGACTGATCGAAGACGAAGGTTTATATGTATAATACCATCCATTAAATAGTGGAGAAATTTAGTATCAGCATTACAAGCCGAGGCGAGTCGCTAGTATATTATACAGCTGTAGAGTTGGTTTGTTTAAACGCGCTCATCTCCGTAACGACTGATTCGAATTGAACAATTCTTTTTGTGTTTGTTAGTCCATTTATCGAGGACTATTTATCATATCGAAGGCTATATATAGGCTATAAAACATCACGCTACAATCTGTAAGAGTCGAGCAGTATGAGAGTAACTAATATGAAAAATAAACATGATTAATTTTTTTTCCAGAGTTTACCCGACGTATGACTTCGCGTGTCCAATAGTGGACTCTATCGAGGGAGTGACGCACGTTCTCCGTACGATGGAGTACCACGACCGAGATCCGCAGTTCTACTGGTTCATTGACGCGCTCGGCATCAGGAAACCTTACATCTGGGAGTATAGCCGGTAACTATTTCTTTCTTTCTTTCTTTCTTATCTTTCACATAAACATTTTAATAGACGAGTAAAATAAACCTTACTGTTAGTGTCCTTAAAGTCGATTAAATATCACACCTTGAAGCTTTTAGCACTTCTATCTAATAAACTTTTCGTTTGGGATTGCTGGTGTAAGCGCAATAACGTATAGCGGCTCCGATTTAGGGCAGAAGAAGGAATAAGGGAATTTCTAATCAACAAGAGTCTTACACTCCCTCTCGCCTAACCTTGGGTAGGAGCAGATTTTTGATGACTTTTCCCTCTCAGAAAAAAGCCAATGAACATATCAGCCGTGGTTGCCCCGACCCGGAACAGTAAAAGAAACGGCATGATTTTTAGCCAGTAAAAAACAAACAGACAAGTTTTGTATTATGAGAACAAGAGAATTCATAGCACAAAATTCACTTTAAAAAAAACCACTATCAACACGCTCTTCTCTTGAAAATGGATGTAATATTAAAATTTAACAGAGCAACTGCATGTTGGATCTAAATCATTTATTTATTTGTCCACAGATTGAGTATGACAAACACAGTTTTGTCCAAGAGGAAACTGACATGGTTCGTGAATGAAGGACTCGTCGACGGATGGTAAGTCCATTAATAACATCAAATTACATATCTATAGGTATATGTCAATAAAAATAAACATATAGAAATGTTTCCATTCTTTGAAAGTCATAGTTAAAAACGGTGATTGTGAACATGTTTTTAGAAACTTAAAAAATGAAGTGATTGAAAAAGAGTAACCATGGAGTTTCTTGCTCGTTCTTCTCCATAGGAATCTACACTTTGGAACGAGCAAATAGCTTAGAGGACAGACGGACAGACTGAAACATATAAAGTTAAACCTTATGATATCTTTTTTGCTTGACGTTCAAAAGTGCCTTTTTTGGTCTATTTGAAATAAAGAAACACATAACACACAAGTGTATGGTATCCGTTATATAGTTTATAGTATATAGTATCAATGGAGAAAAAGTTTAGGTAATATTCAGCATGGTCTCTATTCGGAGTATTGATTTGTTTTTTCTGAACGTGCATAAAAGTTCACAAGATTTTCTAAGAATTTTGTACGCAACTGTGACTTGTTACGTTATACCTTTTAAACATTTACTAGTGACTTGAAACTAATACATATTTTACCATTTAATTCACGAGACTAATGTCCGGTTTCCGAAAGCCCGATCAATGTTAAAATCAACTAACTAGGTGTCAAATCTCTTGTCAAGTCATCTGATTGGTTGTTGATAATTCAGTCAGTATATTGGCCTTTCCGGAAACCGGGTGTAAGTCGTTATTTTCAATAAACTTATTTTATGAATTTGAAAACTATTTTGCTTTGGTAGTAGTGGTATGCTAGAATGAAACATCGACGAGTTCACGATAATTTTATTTCAGAAGATTTGCACAAAGAATACACATGCTTTTAGCAATCACTAAAATTAAAGGGAAGACATATTATAAGTATTAAGTATAAGAAATTAATAATAGGTAGTACATTTGACAAAAGTCTGACGTATAAAAGATACATTCATCATAATTTGTTTAGAAAGAGAGGTAAACACATTTTCTCAAATAGATCAGTAAAGAGTGATAAAAACTAAAGATTTATTAAAGCTGTGGGAAGTCATTAAGGGTCAATTTACGCTAGCGCACAACCAAAGCAAAAATGCGCCGAAATTTGCGCTTATTCGCGCAGATCTTTGAAATGTCTAAAGCAATCTGTGCTTTATGTTGTAGAGATAAGATTGAATTTGTTACGTCCGTAAATTGTATCTGCGCTTCGATGCACTTCGATTTAGCGCATATTTAAACCGACCCAAAAATAAACAAATACAATTTACACTTATTATATAACATGATTGATTAATGTTAACATACATCCAAAAAAATTTTAATACTAGTTACACACTATATACATAATATATAATACTAGTTATATATTTTAACACATATACACTATTAAAATAGTCGTATACAAGTATATGAGGCCATTCCTTTTTTAGCCTTCAAGGCTTAATTTTTTCTAGTCAACTTTTATTAGTTGTTGATTTGTTATTCGTATCCAGATTCTTATACCTTAGTTTCCAACTAGCCAAAATCAATACTTTTATTGAAATGTCAAAAACGATACTTTCCTATGATTTTTTTTTTATTAAATCGAAACATTTATTTTTGACTTTGTAAACTACCGAACTCATCAATTTTTTTGAATGAAATTGATTAGAAAAAATATCTGTCTCACAACCGCTTTTATGACCGAAACCATAACAGACTTCTTTACCTTGGCAATTTTCACATAATATACTATATACTTACATCAATTATATTTTAAGATTATTATCAAACCACACCAAAGATTAAATACACTATGAATCCTTATAGTCACTGGTCTCATCAGCAGGATAAAATAGTAACTACGAGTGATAGGTATACATCAAGATCAATAGGAACACTTCCCCAAAAATACAGCAGCGCCATCTACTATAGCGAAAATTGTTACATTAAATAAATTGACACATATTTTTTCTCGATATGAATATTTTTTTTGTCTACGCTTTTTCAATCCGACTAGCAACTGTTTGAAATAGGATATCAGCAGCGTTTAGAACTATACGTATATATGTATTATTTGCTGAAATCAGCTGCCATCAACAGCATCCATAGATAATTATGATCATAAGAATTCTCATCTCTTTAGGTTTGCACGCAGATGTGTTCTATTAATAAGTATTTTATAGGTGGTTAGAAGATTATTAGTTGTAAACATTGTAAAAACTTGCATAGCTATTTACCGATCCCTTCAACAATAACTGATTCTATGAGTCCAAATAATTCAAATGTATTGAATCAAAATAATCTAGAAAGTTTCTGATCAAATTTTATTTTCATAGACACCGTAAAAAAGCTATTTAGAGCTCAATACAAATACAGATGTTTGTCCTTGACGTTCAAAACAAAATCTCTACAAACCAGATGATTTGATTCCTGTAATAATATCCTGTTTGGATTTTAATATTTTTTCAACAGCCTGTATACTACTATACTACTATACAGGGTGTTGAAATAGTACCTACCGTCGCGTCATGTCTCGGTAATAATGGACCCTAAAATACATAATTTTAATACAAGTGAATTTAGACGCACGGTTGACTACATAAAGACTTCTTTTCCACCACCAGGGACGATCCTCGTATGCCCACCGTTCGAGGAGTGCTTCGTCGCGGTATGACCGTGGAAGGTCTTAGACAGTTCATCACAGCGCAGGGCTCCAGTCGATCTGTGGTCTTCATGGAGTGGGACAAGATTTGGGCTATAAATAAAAAGGTTTGTATATTAAATAAAATTTGCTTTTGTATGATAATTATTATTGTAGATATCTGTTTTTTTGTTGGGCATTGAAATGAGGGCTTTTTGTTTAATGGAATAAATTGTTTGAAATTAAAAATGTCTGCTTGATATTTCTCCATTGACCAAAAATGCCAGACCAAAAAAATAAATAAAAGATATTTTAAACCCAACTGTAGAAAGGTTATTATTTAAAACCTAAGTACCGTCGCGTCATGTCTCGGTAATAACGGACCCTAAAATACATATTTTTTATAAAATAATTTTGTTTCAGGTAATAGACCCAATAGCGCCTCGTTACACCGCTTTAGAAACAAACCCAGTGCCAGTAAACCTCAAAGGAGTATCAGAGAGCACCTTGAACGTAGCTCTGCATCCCAAAAACCCTGATGTAGGGTCCAAGACTGTACATGTAGCTGGCAGACTACTAATAGACCAGGTCGACGCAAAGACCTTGAAAGAGGGAGAAAATGCCACGTTCATCAACTACGGAAACATCATGATCGATAAAATTCACAAGTAAGTGCTGTTTTTGTGATAAACTTAAATATGTTTTGAAGTTATTATATGTAGTTGACTCCATAGCTGGGCAACTGGCTGCCAAACAACCTGTCGTGAGTTCGTTTTCCGAACGATAAAACTTGTTTGAGAAACAGCAATTTGTAAATCACCCATAGAGGTGGCAAATTGGGTCTGGTTATGATGTGTATGTTAAATTTTATGTTTGTAAACGCACCCACGAACGCATACACTAAAGAAAATCCTAGTACTGGGAAACGTTTTCAAGACAAAAATAATAGTATTATTGTAGGTTATGGAAGATATGCCACTCTAAAGCGTTTCAAACTTTTGGAAAGACTTCATGGGAATGCCACAAAATACAGCATAGTATATACATATTTGAATTGATTGATTACAGCACTAAAATTATGTTTTAAGTTTCTGGTCTATTCTACACATGTCCCAAATAACTAACAAAATTGTATTAGCTTCTGAAAAAAACAATTAGTATGAAAATTTATAAAGAAAATAATGTCTATAAAGAACTTTCTACAGAACAAAATAGACTAATACCCTATCTAATTCACAGATCAGCAGACGGCACAGTGACCAGTATAGATGCGACCCCTAACCTGGACAACAAAGACTACAAGAAGACGCTCAAGTTAACCTGGTTGGCGGATACACCCAAGTCGCCGACTGTTGAGGTCTACTGCGTCTACTTTGATCATATTATATCGAAGCCATTGCTAGGCAAAGACGAAGATTTCAAACAGTACATTGGACATAAGACCAGGGTATGTATAAGATTTGTGATAATTTTGTTAATTCGTTGCTCATTGGCGCTCCCGCGAAGTGAGGTTGAAAGTAGAAATTAAAGTAGGTATGAATGTAAATTTTGTATCTTTAAAAACCACATTGTTTCTGTTTGGTGAAATTTGTATTTTTGTTTGTAAGAAAACCAAGAAGAAAGAATTAACGAAAAGTTAAAGCTGACGAACGAACGATGTTTAACAAGTATTAAAATATATGTGATACTCTAGCTAGACTAAAATATATTGCAATGCGTAAATTTCATCTACACCCATTCAGTTAGAGCCAAATAAGAATGAGGTCTATTATTAAAACAAAACTACAGATTGAGAAAGCGTACCATGACGGCGTCTAAAACGAAAAAAAGAATATTGAAAAAGATACTTACAAATTCCTCATGTTTCCTCACAATTGGCCAAAGCATAAAAATGGATGGCATTTTTATGCTTTTGGCCAATTTTCTCACACAACGTTTCTTTTCGTATCTTAGTGGGAAATCCCAATGTTGGGAGAGCCAGAGTTGCTGAAGGTGAAAGTAGGAGATATCATCCAGCTGCAGAGACGTGGCTTCTTCAGAGTGGATGTGGCGGCCGCCCCGCCCTCCCAACATACGTCGCGGCCAACCCCACTCGTACTGTTCCACGTGCCCGATGGACACACCAAGGAGATGCCTGGACAGGTTAGTTTCATATTTTAAAGTTGTTTTGGTCGTGATAACTTTGCTGCTGGTAGCTTTGGCTACTGAAGATAATACCATCAGCCTATATGTGCCCACTGATGAGCAAAAGTGTAGTACCACTTGGAGAAGATTTGAGTAAATAACCACGCTTGCTCAAGGCGATTTCAAACTTTTAATCAGAAATTATACGGTCTCCAGGTTTCCTCATGATTTTTACTTTTACCGTAGATCTGTGGTGTCTAAATGAACTCAAATATAAATAGGTATTGTATCTACTGTAGTAATAAATGTATCAAAATGCTATTTCTCAAAAAGTAAAAAAGAACATGCTGTATATACCACTTACTCTTTATAATTTGTTAATCGTCCAGTTATATGTTTTGCTTTTTGTCTTATAAACAGATGTCACATATCTTCAGTATTTATTCCTCTGTACATACAGTATTCGATTCATTGTACTTAGTTTTGTTTCATCATTATTTGCCCTGGGTAAAGTTGAGCTATTAATATAGGCTTAATTCTTTGGCAGATTTTTAATTTCCTCATGAAAATCGCTTTGCAGATCGCACAGCTATTTTCGCGCGCTTCGCATTATTAAATTTAAAACAAACAAATATTTAGGCTAAAAAGGAAGTAAAATCATTATTTTCTAACAATTCGCGGATGCTGTTGTTATTTGTATTTTGACCCAAAAACAAAGGCTCCACAGGATATTTTTCCAAAATTATGTCATCTCTAAAAACCCATACATTTCCTTTGAACAGTTTAATTTATAGCCCGTATTTTCTGTTCTATGGTATTCTTGGATGTGGATTTAATGATGTCAGTAGCATATTCTTTGAAAACCATATTATTTCAGTTTGGTGAAGTTATGTTTTAGTTAGATGAGTTTTGGCCTGTAAGAAAGAAATGAAAAGTTGAAACTTTAACCTAACATTTTGTATTATTATAGATATTAAAACAATCATGAAAACATACCTATATGCACAATATTGTATTCCGTTAAAGTTCTTATAGCTGAAATAAATGTGGACTATTGTTTTTCTCCTCACCAGATGGCGCTAATGTGGCCTTAGGTTCTGTTCAATCTCTGTTACTGCCATTGTCTAATTATTTGACACTGCCAATTTTTTTATTGGGCACAAGAGTTAAGTATTTACTAGGGCTCCTTGTAGAAAGCTCTGATCCTCATTGCTTGGAAAAATTATGAGTTTCTATTATATTTGTAGTAAGTCTGATATAAAATTTAAATATTCACAATAATCATTATACTTTTAATCCAAAGAAGAATACAGTGACCAAAAATAATGTTTATTATTTTAAAAAGTATATAATAGTTTTTTTATTAAAATATCATCCGCGCTCAGATCTGTAAAAAGTGCAAAAATTAAATTAACATAAACAGTTTTATCTTGAATGTTTTCCTTAAACTTCGAAAACACTAAAGAGACATTGAAATACATCAAACTACATACCATACATCACCGGTGCTATCAGCAATGTCTGAGCCTTTAACTTTAGTGTGTTTGGATTTTTTCGAGTGGCGCCCTTCATTACTTTTATTATTAAATTTCGTTTTAGTTAAAAGTTCACTCGTACCATCTTCTATTATAATGCAATCATCATCGTCGTCATCATCATCATCATCACCAAAAATCTGTTTTTCAAGCTGTCGTTTTTTATCGACTTTCCGTTTTGAGATCTTCGATGATTTGCTTTTGGTCGATTTCTTGTTTTTACTACATTTACTACAACTACAGTTCTTTGGGATATTTGTTTTTTTACTCGATTCTTTCAATTGCACCTTTGAATCTTTTAAATTAGATTTAGCTTTTTTTTGAGTTAATTTGTTTTGTAAAATTGTTTCACCTTCCGATGTTTTATCTGCTTTCTTTTTGGGCATTGCTGTAGATGTTTCTAGACTTTTTATACCTTTTGGCATATTTTTTGAACTATTCTTTGTCGAGATGGGTTCTGTTACTGTTTCATCAACGTCTGTTTTTGCAGTCTTTGGTTTTGCTTTAGACATTTTTTGGTTCTTGTTATTTTCTTTAACGTTTTCTTCTTCTTCTTTCTCTTTGGTTAAATCTATTAATAAGTAATTGCTACTAGAAATTAATTTATCCTTTTGCGCCAGTTTACTGCTAGCCGATTTCTTTATTTCTGCTACACACTGCACCCCTTTTGAAATTTTAGAAGACGCATTTTTATCGATAGTGTTAGCGTCTTTTACCGAAATCTTTTCGGTTTCCTGATTGCTTTTATTTTCTTCAATATTTAGATCTTTGTTATTCCCATTTGGAACAGTTTCTTGATTTGGATGATTTGGATCCGTATTCAGAAAGTGAACAATTTTATCAACATCTATTTCTTCAACGAAACTTAAATTATCTGGTGATGGACAAGGTTCACTACAATCAGAAGCACTAGATGCATTTTCGATGCTTAAACTTAATCTTACTTTAACGTATCGTTGGCTGGCTGTATCTGAGTTTTCTTTTTGAGTAATTTCTTGATTATCATTCACGTCTGTGGCTTTTCCTAAATCTAATGTGCTGTGTTGTCTTTTTCTTTTGTGAGACAATTTTGATTTAACGGGTTCTTTTGTTTGAACTTCCTTATCCTGCTAATGTGGGATTGGTTTAGATAATATTACTGTTACATTAATTATTACGTTACATTGAACTTACCTCTCCTTGCTTATTTTGTTCATCATTTAATTCATCACAATTTTCCTCTAGTTCGTGTATCTTTTCATGAGAATTTCGTTGATTTATAGATTCGGTTTGATATTTTTGAGTGTTAAGTTGTCTTTTACTTGATTTTTCTTTCTTGCGCTGGGTACATATTTTTCTTTTAAGTGTGTGTTTTGGAGCACTAGCATTGTATTTAAGCATAAAGCGTTGGAAGTCCATATATCTTTTGTAGGAAGCTGGACTTAAAGACCGATATCTTCTATCTGTTGATACAACAGTTCTTTTTAGACCTTTGCAATGATGACTACCCGATTTCTTTTCACGTAATTTTTTAGAAGCCGATTTAGTCTTTTCCTTTGACTCTTTTATTTGTGTGCTGCTTTTAACAGTATGTTTATTGGGCGCTTTACCTTCATCAGTTTCTTGTTTTGAGTCTTTAGAATTGCTATTATAGTCTTGGCTTAACAATTGTTTAGTGTTTAGTATTTCATCCTCTAACCTCAACCCTTTGATTGCTGATTTGCCTTCCTTTTTCACGACCATTTCATTTGTATCGTTTTGAGATTCATTAGTTCCCTTCGCTGTATTGTCTCGCCGGTGATTTTCATTGATATTCGTTGTACATTCTGTTATTGTTATTTTGTTACTATTTTGCTGTTCTAAGTAACCATATCTGGCCTCATGTGTTTGGAAATTCATGCCAGTTTGGTCCCTCGCGTAATCATATCCCATGTAATTAGACGGTACGTGATTAATGTACGGGTTTTCATTCATTAAACCGGTTCTATCGTAATTTTGATTTTGTGTGTTGTACGGATATGATGAGTACTGTGAACAACGTTTTTTTTATTCGTATTAATTAATAAGAGCTTAACACCTACATGCTTATCGCTAATCACTTTATACTATAAAACAAAGTTGTTTTCTCTGTCCATATATCCCTATGTATGTTTAAATCTTTTACACTGACCAACGGATTTTGATGTGGTTCTTTTGAATAGACAGAATGATTGAAGAGGACGGTTTATAAGTATAATAAATACCATTAAATAGAGGAGAAATTTGGTATCAGCATTGCAACTGTGCGAAGCCGGATCGGGTTATTAGTAATTTGTAATACTTCTTTTTATGGGATAGGTTTGCAAATAAGCATCGGATCAACTGATCGTAAGTAATCGGCGCCTCCCGTGGACAAACAAGCACAAATAGCAACAAGTTATAACTGCGTTTACGCACTTTTTGTGAGTTTTTGGGGATTTATGAATTAACAGTTGAGGGTAAGGGACAGTTGGCCCTCTGGTAATAGTACTCACTCGGTGAAACAACGCAAGCATTGTGCAACGGGTATGTGCTATTCTGTGAGGCCGTTGTAACACGCACACACATTTAACCTTTTTTGATAAATTTTGAATGTTTTTTCTAACTTCTGTAACTGCGTCAATTACATGTGCTGCCTGAACCCGATCCCAAAAATTGAAATCATTGTTGAACTTGACGTGATACTTAATGATTTTATAAATGTTTGTACTTAGGTATCAAAAAAGATTGTATTGCTGTTTAGTTTTTAATACTGAACCATACTTATATCGCGATACATTGTAAAAAGTTCACAAATCACTTCATTTATTTGCATTGCTTTACATTTATTACCCTTAATATGCTGTAATACTAAATAATATTATAGATAAAGGAGTATTTGAATAAAATTAGTTTAGCTTAAATTCACTGCCGTATTGTAGATTAGGGATAACTTATTAAAATCCTCTCGCCCCACTCAATGTAGTATTGAAGATCCTAGTAAGTTGAAATCATAAAATAATATTTATCTAATTATAACTATCACATTTACTGCATAATTTGTTTTTTTATTGAAGTATTTGCACTATGCATTGAAATACTTCGAACTTCATACACGACATAATTATGTAGGGACGATACTTACATAGGCAGTGGAATTCGTAGCGTTGTTGTAACTCATTGAATTATAGTTTGAATATTGGGAATAGTAGTTGTGTAAGTAATACTGTTCGCTATAATTTGGGTCTGAGGGTTGAGTTAGATGTCGCGCCATTGGTATAGATGGGGGTGGTACTGGTGGGGGTGGTGGCGGCAACGGTGGTTGTCCGGCTGGTAGCGGCGGTGGTGGCACCGGCTGGGGCTTATACTGCATATATTCCACAGGCCCATTAGCTCGCACAGGTCCTGTAGGTCGCGTAGGCCCGTGAACCCCTCGATCCCAACTCGACAGCTGTTCCCGAATTCGAGGTTGACTAGGATAGCTAAATCTATTATAATACGGATACGCCATTGACCAAAAAAACAGCACTTCAATTATTTGCCAAAAATATTCACAATGTTTAGATGATTATTGAGTTTGTTAATTCTATTTTTGCTTTGTGATTTGTAGGATTCGTTTTGAAAGATAATAGGACTAAGATGTTGATCATCTTTAACTTGTTTTATTACATTTTTTATTCAGTAACTATGGCTAAAACTCTAAACTGCAAGGCAATGAATATAAATCAATAAAACGCGGCTGGGCGCCGCGCGCCTGCCTCTGAAGGACGCACTACCTTGCGCCGCGATTCACATCGAATGATAGACAAATTAATGGCCGTGACATATGACATACATAAATAAATGCAACCTGAGTGAATGACCGAATGATAAGGACCTGCATAAAGTTGATAGGTATGAAGTTAGAGGTGATTGATAAAGGGCTAAAGTGCACCTTGAAGTTAGGTCTCAATGCAGATGAGTGTCTCAATGAGAATTAATAAATCCAATCTCACAATAAAACTACGAATAATACTTTTGAAACGACATTTTTGTCTCCTTAGTTGTATTAAACGCCCCTTTCCTGTCCCTTTATGTCCGGATAATACGGAAAGTAACTAAGTACTAGGCCAATAAAAACAAAACACGACGCGACCCAACAATGTTACATTACTTAGTCTATACATGTATACCTCTGGAAACCCTTTTTACAATTAATATGTTTGATATTGAGTATGCTAGAAATTTTAAATAATTCAAGTCATGGATATTATCAATAGCATTAAGATTCATAATAAAGTCCACCTTCTAACTTACAAAGGTTTTAGAAACCAATTGTTTTAATAATTTTAAATCAAAGTTGATACATTCCCTTTCTCCACGCTTTAATATAGACCAATGCAAAAAATATGTGAACAACACTTTTACAATACACGACATACATTGCTGGTTTTCATTCATAAGCCTTTATAATGACAGACAAAAAGCGCCAATGTATACCAAGGTCAGTCGATTCAGTCGTAACCGGTTACGTGATGTGTTTTAGAAAGTAAAAGTGGGTTTTGACCACGTTTTTGCTCGAGTCATCAGTTCTTATGTCTGTGTTGCATATGTGAGTAGGATTGTTGTGTTGTTGGCAGTGATTTTTTTTTTAATATTGGTAAGTTATTGTTTTTTTTTCTCGTATATGAACTTAGTTCTTAGGTATGTCTTAATTTAGTAAAGAGTTTTGTTGTTGAGTATTTATTTATGGTCGTTTTTTATTTGTGTTTATATTTTTATTGGAATGATTTTCTATTAAAATAGTGGATTTTTTTAATAATTTTGATTTAATTAGGTATTTTTGATAGTTAAGTAATAGCTAGGTAACAAGTTATTGGAATTTTGAATTGTATTTACACAAGTGTTTGAGTTTAAATTACACTATTGATATTTTGAACGTGTTATAATGTTAATTCAACATATGGAAATTAAAACTTACCTACGTTAGATATTGTTAGATATTTTACCGAATAAGTACCTAATTGTAATTTAATATTAATTAATTATGTAATTAAATTATAAACGCTGAAATTATAAACGTTGAAATTTAGTTCTAAACGTACCTTATTTGTGTTACTATAATAAAGTTACAAGTTTGTTGTTGTATCAACGCGCTAACTTCAGAAACTTAGTCGCAACCTGAAGTTTTAGTCTAAATAACTGAAATATAGGTAGGTGTGTACATAGCTATAACCCTGTCTATAAATAACTTAGGTAATTCAAAGCTAACATAAAATCTGTCTGATAGTAATTCTGGTCTTTTAATTCCTGATTGTGGATTTTTTATGTGTTGTGTAGGACTAGCTTTCGCCTGTGACTTCGCCCGCGTGTTGTTGACAAAAATATATGTGTGTTAATTAAAATGAAAGTTATGTAGATAGGTAATACCCTGATTACCTATCTACATAACTTTCACCCAAATCGGCCCAGTTGTTTTTCGTGAAAGAATTAACAAACATACATCCACACGTCTCACAAACTCTCCTATTTATAATATTAGTAAGATTTGTAAAATTCTTTCTAGCCCGTGATTAACTTAATAGTCATTTTCTAAATATTTTTTTCATAAAAACCTTTTTTTTTGTAATAGCCAAAACCGGCAGCTGCATCGCCAGCCAAGCAGCCAGCTGCAGCACCAGCAGCATCTGCAGCCTCCGACCTGAACGAGCAGATCACCAAACAAGGAGACCTGGTCCGCTCCCTTAAGTCCGCTAAGGCTGAGAAGGCCAAGGTCGACGAAGCCGTCAAGATCCTGTTAGACCTTAAGGCCAAATACAAGGCCGCTACTGGACAGGTAAATAAGATGATTGAGATAAATCTTTATATATAAAAATGGATCGCAAAATGTGTTGGTAAGCGCATAACTCAACAACGCCTGGACCAATTTTACTAATTCTTTTTTTGTGGTGTTTGTTATTGATAGGAGAAGGTTCTTATCAACGAAAATATTAGAAAAGTAGAGAGGAAAATTGGGAAAAAGTGACCCTTTGATAGCGAGATAGTTAGACCCGTGCGAAGCGGGGGCGGGCAGCTAGTTAATTATATAAAAAAACATTTCTTTTCTTCGTTTTCTACTAGTGGATTTGTCTGCAGCGTCTATTTAACAGAGTCACCTACCATATCTTGATCTTTATGGCAGTAGTCTAACTGCCATAAAGATCAAGATATGGTAGGTGACTCTGTTAAATAGACGCTGCAGACATCTATCGGCAGTAATGAAAAAAATGAGTCTTCCTTAATGACTTCATATCTCTTGAAACAAATTCTTTTAAAGAAATATTCTGGAGTGGAATTCTGTACCGGTCTTTGTTCCTCAAAGTTGATAGGTAGTAGGACTGCTATATAGTTGGTCGTATCGTATCATCGCTAACCACCAGGCAAGATTGGCCAAACGATAAGATATCGCCCATTACTAATAATGCTTCCTAAGTTTATTCTCGACTCATTTATCTATGTATCAAAGCTTTATTGAGTGCCTGAAGATGCAAGCAACCAAAGAAGTTTTCTGAACCTTATTTTGTTACCTAATTACGATTAAAATGATCAATTTTGCAGACCCGATCATTTTTATCGCCATTTTCCCCACACAAAAGTACTTATACAATATTTCCTCCTGTTCATCATTCAGGACTGGAAGCCAGGCGCGGCTCCGGCTCCAGCTGCAGCACCAGCGTCTCCATCTGGTGACGCAGCGTCCCTAGACCAGGAGATCACCAAGCAAGGAGACCTGGTCCGCTCCCTGAAGTCCGCTAAGGCTGAGAAAGCAAAGATCGACGAGGCTGTTAAAACCCTGTTAGACCTCAAGGCCAAATATAAGGCCGCTACTGGACAGGTTGGTTCAAAACTTTATTTATTAAGATAGTGTTATGGTAGAAACGTGAAGACAGAAAGAGATAATGAATCCACATACATCCTGTAATAGCAGTTCAATGCTGAACTCTGTACCTTCTACTCGTAATAGGGTTATGGAGATTGCAGATTAAGATTTCTGGTTTGTCAGAGCTCTGCTGCTCGGCTTCTGACAAATTTATAATAATAAAATATAGCCTTTTTTACAGATCCTTAAACTACAATTTAAAACTGTAATTTGCCTTAGAATTTTCCTTATTTTGTGTAGATCTATTTTTAAGAGATCGTATTCCACTCACTTTTTCTTGGGCCACTTCGTTCCACGTGACGCCTGTCACTTGGCTTATATCATCATCCTATTCCCCTTTTTGTTTTACGTTCTCTTAGACAAACTTAGTCGACTCTTACGATACTTGCTAGATAAATAGTGATAAATCATAAAGCTGTTGTGTTATCTCTACACTTTCACACGGCTTTCAGATCAGAAAAGACACCCATACTTTAATACTGTCTCCATTTTTCCTAGGATTGGAAACCAGGCGCGGCTTCAGCTCCAAAATCATCCCCAAGCCCATCTGGTGATGCTTCATCCCTTAACCAGGAGATCACCAAGCAAGGAGACCTGGTCCGCTCACTGAAGTCCGCTAAGGCTGAGAAGGCGAAGGTCGACGAGGCGGTCAAGGTCCTGTTAGACCTTAAAGCTAAATATAAAGCCGCTACTGGACAGGTGTGTGACTCGTTTTCGTTTCTTTTCATTTAAAATATAAAAAAAACTTATTTATATATTTTACTAATATTTTTACAGGTATACATAGGTATATACAGGTTTTAGTGTGTGTAGAAAGTTTAAGACACAAAAGTACTACGAATTTTAATTTATTTATGAAAATAAAACTTTTATTAGATTTGTATCGAATATTTTAGCTAATAATGAACTCTTCAAAAGCCTTTAATTCCTATATACCGATATCTGTTAGTAGATTAGTAAATCTTTGCATATTTGGTAAGCTGATTCGACATTTACCTCTAGCTAAATGTACCGACACGTATAATTGGGGAGATTCTATTTGTCGCGATCTTCTATAAAATTCACAGAAGTATCGTTCTTGTCATTTCAATAAAATTCGGAAAATATGGTTTTTTGAAAATAATCGTCAAAGAACATATAATCTTCAAACAATTTATCCTTTAAATTTCATTTTTTCAAATCAGGATTGGAAACCTGGTGCAGCCCCACCTTCAGGAACTCCAAAAGCTGCAGCAGCACCATCGTCTCCGTCTGGTGACGCAGCTTCTCTGAACGAGCAGATCACCAAGCAAGGAGACCTCGTTCGATCGCTGAAGTCTGCTAAGGCTGAGAAAGCTAAGATTGACGAGGCTGTAAAGACCTTGTTAGACCTTAAAGCCAAGTATAAGACCGCTACTGGACAGGTATATTTTATAACTTCGTTGCCACCTTTAAAGGAAGACCTACTCCTTAACCCCTTTAAGGTGTAGGCCTCCATTAATTATGTTAACACGGTTAAATACAACGTAAGCATTATTTCACGCCGGTTTCCTGCTATCAGTCCAGTCTTGCCGATAATTTCGTGCGGAATCATGGCTGACATACACTTAAATTAATCCTAAATAGAGTTTTAATCACGATACAAACACTTATCTTTGTATAAATAAAGATGAATCGCAAAATATATTTGTAAGCGCATAACTCAATCAGGCTAGGACCAATTTACCGACTCCTTTTTTTTGTGTTTATTATTGTCAGTAGAAGGAAACTTTAGGAATATAGAAGGTATAATTGAGAAACGTGAGCGACGAACTCGACGCTACGAACGCAACGGCATACCCTACATGCGGTCTATATGAAAGTCTGCGGCGAGACGTAAAGCGCACTTATTTCGAGGGCGGCAACACGAACTATAACATTTTTGTGTAATTTGTAAAAATATTATATTTATTTACTTTCTGTGCTTTGAACGATATTTTTTTAAATATGAACCTTCAAGCAAAATTGTACTTCTCCATGATTCGAGAAGGAATGACCAAAATCACGTAGGACATGTCGCATTGCGTCGCATTACGTCGCGCCGTGCTGCGTCGCGTTCGTCGCACACGCAGGACACCCCGTCAGAGTATGTTACACATCCAAGCAAAGCAAGAGCGACCCTTTACACTAAAATAAAAATTCTACTACTAAACTGATGTATTTGTCAAACATAATGCAATCTTAATAAATTTCGAATTTCTCTCTTCCTCAAGGATTGGAAGCCAGGTTCGTCTCCTGCGCCAGCGCAACAGAAACAGTCGGAGACAGACGACAGTAAGCAGGTCGCGTTACTCCTCAAGCAGATTGCTACACAAGGAGACAAGGTCAGAAAGGTCAAGGCCGAAAAAGCTGAGAAGAACGTCATAGATGTTGAGGTGAGTCCTAAATGTGTTGAAGTAATGTAAGGATAACTTGACTAACTAAAAAAACGACTTTGCATTGCAATTATTTTGGTAATAATAATAATAATCATGGTTCCATTTATTGATTTAATAAAGTACTTAAAAAAATTACGCAAAAAACAAGATGTCACAACATAATCTCGTATATAATTCTGTAACAATTTGATTAATTTTCAAGTATTATCGGATTATTTTGAAAAGTTTGCTTTTAAATGTAAAAAAAGGTGTATTTCATCAACGGAACACCCTTTATTCCAGTTGTATAAAACTTTAAAAGGTCATCATTACTATTTTAATTAGTTAATTGTTGGTTTAAATTTAATAAAGTTGAAACTCTGTCCGCCAAAAGCTAAAGAGTCCGCCACGCTTCGGTCACTCAAATTCTACATTTTTACCTTTTATTAGCAAAATCTCTGTACTACTGCTGTATGTATATTCGTTGTTAAACAAAATCTTATTTCGTAGGTGAAGAATCTCCTGAACTTGAAAGCGCAATACAAAGCTATAACCGGCACCGACTGGACACCCGCCGCTGCGTCTGCGCCGGCTAAAGTTGAAACTAAGGTAAACTACTAAAACGTTATAATTACATTATTATATGTGATCTTTAAGCAATGTAGATGATTTTTAATAAAATAATTGCTTCAAAGAGTACAAATAAAGGACTAAGTAAGAAAGAGTATCCCTATTCACGTATCTCAATTCTCAAATACCCAATTTTCAAAAGGCACACTCATCATAATTATATCTCATTTTTTGTGATCAGGCTGCTCGCTTGCCCATCAATGCGATAAAAAAACAAAATTTTTTTAACACTTGAAATCAAAGGATTAGTTATTATATTCATTGTAACTAAACCTATTGTGGTTCATTAGTTAAGCCTAAAACAGGCACAGACATATACTTTTGAAAATATAAGTGAAAAACTATTGGGTATTTTCTATGGTCAAAAATAATACATGATATTTTATTACAGCAGGAAAGTCAACCAGCAGCTATGAACGGTGGCAGCGCTAAGGCGACTGAGCTAGGCGCTCAGATCACCAAGCAGGGAGACCTCGTCAGAGAACTGAAGGGAAAGAAAGCTGATAAGGTAATAAGTGGAATATCTTTTTTGACTAAGAAACAATTGGGCAGTTCCCAAAGTCAAAAACAAATTAATTCGACGTTTATACAATTAAATATTGACATCGATACACTATATTTTCGTTATTTTTTAAGAAATAAGTAAGTTATTTGACTCAATAATGCTATGACGTCATAATCTGAAGCTCCATGACATTTTCATAGAAATGTATCGTTTTTGACATATAGATAAAAGTGTGGAATTTGATTATTATTAGTTAGAAACTACCGAAATACCTACGAAACTGGTAGAATGTTTATTTTTTAATTTTAGTGATCAGCTTATTAAAAAATTGAGTTAAATATCGAACCCAAGATCGCATTACTCGTTAATCGCTTGACCACTCTACCAGACATACCATAGTAACCTTAATATTTTTTATAATAACTATCGTGAGACATCTAAATTAACTAAAAATCGCGGCTGCGCGACGTCGCCGCGTCCGCGCACGCTGCTCATAAGGAAGAACCCCTCTGTGGTTCGAAACTAGTAGAGGTTTTCTCAATTACACACGTAAGTAACCCGCGATTTTTAGTTAACCTTAATATTTTCCACCAGGCCGTTGTAGATGCTGAAGTGAAGAAGCTTCTAGAACTCAAGGCGTTGTACCAGGTGGAAACGGGTTCTGCGTTTGCGCCACCGGTACAGCCACGCGACCCCAAACCCAAGGAGAAGAAGGACAAACCTAAAGAGGCCAAGAAAGAGGCTAAAGCCAAGGAACAGGTTTGTAAAAGGCCGTCGTCAATAAAGGCTACTGTTTTCTGTATATTGTCTTTTTAATTTGCTGTCACATTAAATAAATCTAGTATTTTTCATTGTCTGACTTTAAAAGAAACCGACCTCTTTGTTCGTTTCGGAATATCTTCTCATAATGTTTTTAATATTTTTTTAAAAAAACATTGTCCTGCACTAGAATTTTTTACTGTGTCCTGGGTGCGTTTACAAAGACACAATTTCACATACACTTAACACCCACACATTTTTTCCTATAGTCAGATAGAAAACAAATAGATATAATAAGTCGGCTTCGTCTAGCTTATTTTTATGTATAATTTTGACGTATAAAAGTGCTGTTTTACGACATATATCCAAAAATGTTCTAAGTATAATCTGTTTTTTACAGTAATACACAATGTAAATTTTTCACAGTTTAGTCTGTAAATTTGTTCCATTTACAGATTATACTGTGCGCCTACAGCATAAAAGCATTCGCGTAATAGGTCAAACATGCTCAAATAGTTACAAGCGACGACCAGGGCTTATAAATTCGACCTACCATATCGAGCCTTCAATATGATGTGTGAAAAATTAACGCCACTAAAATAACACAAAATGTTTCCTAACAACAATTAATTGTATCCACAGTCACCAAAGCCAACCAAAGAAGATTCATCGTCTGGTGTGAAGAAAGTCACCAGGTTGGGTATGGAAGCTAGCAAAGACACAGACCTGCCGGAGTGGTACTCACAAGTCATCACCAAATGTAAGTAGAGTTTGTTACTTCTACTTATTTGTTTGTGTAATGTAGATGGATTTTTATCTCTTATAATACTTCGGGGACTGTTTAATTCACGAGTTACATATAAAATAAGCCCACGACCTATAATCCTCTATCTATATTGACTGAAAACTTATTTATTGACAGCCAAATCATAGTCAGTGCAAAATCGAGTAGAATTATAAGTTACAGTTACCTATGTGAAAAAATAGTCGTTCGTGAATTTATCGTGATTATATTGTGCGGCTTATTCGCTGAGCCGTTTAACGATGTAACTCGACTTGTTTCAAGCCACGCCAAGGGCTTATAAGAAACATTAGTTGAACAACAAATGAAGTAGCAACTCTCTCTTGTATGTAGTTAGCTTTATATATCTATCCATCGTCTAATCTATCTTTGAAACGTTCCACAGCGGAAATGATAGACTACTACGACATCTCCGGATGCTACATCCTGCGTCCTTGGTCTTACAGCATCTGGGACACTATCAGGAACTTCCTCAGTGCAGAGTTCAAGAAGCTCGGAGTCAAAGACGGATACTTCCCTATTTTCGTTTCCAAGGTATGATTAATTTACCTGGACGTAAATTCGTGGGTTTAAAATGTGCATAAGACTATTACATTGTTGTATGGGATGTTGGTTGTTTTTTTTTTATTATACTCTTTATTCTAATTGGAACTACATACTCTAGACTCTTTTGAACACGTTTGTGAAACTTTTTCATTATTTAACTGACCGATGACTGTCTATGGTCTATACTCTGCTATTGTAAAGTAATTTTATGCTCCAAAAATCTTAGCCTGACAAAAAAGGTATTTTCATAAAAAAATCTTTCACTTTATGATATTAGTTTTTCGATTGATATCAAAATCAAATCGAAATTAAAAAATATTTATATATGACTAGCTTTTTTCCGTGACTCTGTTCGCGTGAAATGGTGACTTCTTGCAGATTTTTGGTATAAAAACTATCATATGTCCTTTTTCAAGTTCCAAACTATGTCTGCACCTAATTTCACAGAAATCGGTACTTAGTTTAGACGTGAAGAAATGACAGACAGAGTTACTTTCGCGTTTATAATATTATAAGTTTGGATTCATTACATAAGAAAAAAAAATATTTGCTACTACTATTTCACCCAAGGTTCATTTAAATTTGAGAGCTTATAACTAATTCTCCTTTAAATTCTTTCACAGGCTGCCTTAGAACGCGAGAAGGATCACATAGCGGACTTCGCCCCCGAAGTGGCTTGGGTAACGCACTCCGGTTCCTCAGAACTGGCGGAACATATCGCCATCAGACCCACGTCGGAGACTGTTATGTATCCCGCGTACGCCAAGTGGATACAGAGCCACAGAGACCTGCCCTACAAGCTAAACCAGTGGAACAATGTTGTGGTAAGTTTATTTCATTTTTTTTTGTATGGCAAGAATCTGAATATTGTGTGGCAACACTTATCTTGATGAAATTCAATTCAAAATAGACTGGATGTAATTCAAACTTTTTCGTAGTACTTAGCTTCACTGACGAACTGATTGACAGACTATATTCGATTTTGACGTTCCAAAAGTATCTGTTTATGGTTTAGTTGGAATAAATGATTTTGACTTCGAGTTTGACTTTCGTACTATTGCTACTTTTGTGTTAAAATTTTCACGAGACAAATTAAATAAATTATTATGTTAAAGGGCTTAAATTACGCTTTCTTTACAGAGATGGGAGTTCAAGCAGCCACAGCCTTTCCTTCGCACGCGTGAATTCCTCTGGCAGGAGGGACACACCGCCTTCCGACTACAGGAAGAGGCCGCTGAAGAGGTCTTGCAGATTCTTGGTATTTATTGCTTTTGTTTTTTTGGAGACATGCTTTAAGAGTATTAAGGATGATGTTACGGAGTGATACCACGGCCTCACAGTAAACCGGCGTGAAAAAACGCTTCCATTGTGTTTCGTTTTCTTAATAAAATTACTGGATGGCCAATAATTTTTCCTTTTAAACAAATAACTTCTCCAGTCCGGTTCGGTGTCCGGTGTTGCCATGGACAGCGACGATTGTTTACCATGAGGTGTTCTAAATTATCGTTACGCACCTAAAAGGGTAATTATTTATGGAATTATAAATAATTACCCTTTTTCATTAAAATAAAAATACAATTAACCATTCAATCCACGAACACCGGCTGCCTTCGCTTGGGGCTTAATGAATTATTAAAAAAAAATTAGTAGAGTTCGTTGCGTTCCTTGTTTATAACTTCGAGGAACATTATATGCTATGTATGTAATAAGTAAGTTTAAATTCTATAAAAAGCCGAAAAGTGGCGTCCAATATTTCTTTAAATAACCTATTAATATGATTTAATGTTTACTGTAGATCTGTACGCTCGCGTTTACGAAGAGCTGATGGCTATCCCCGTGATCAAGGGTCGTAAATCTGAGAAGGAGAAGTTTGCGGGTGGAGACTACACTACCACCGTGGAGGCCTACATACCAGCCAGTGGACGAGCTATTCAGGTATGACAATTCTGACCAAGTTCTTATTAGCTCAAAAGTGATATAGCCATATTTGGTTCTACTACATATTAGACGTCGTGGTAAAGGTTAAGACACATGGAAATTATGTACACCCGCTTCTCATGCATGAGGGTGCGGGTTCCAAAGCTGGCCAGTACCAATGCGACTTTTTCCGAGTTACCTGTACTTTCTATGATTATTCAGACACCACTGGCATACGGTGAAGGAAAATATCGTAGGGAAACCTGGACTTATAATTTATAATTGTAAGTTTGAAATCGCTAATCCGCTTTGAGCCAGCGTGGTGATTAATACTCAAACTTTCTCCGTGTGAGAAGATGCCTTTGTTCAGCAGTGGGCACTTAAAGGGCTAATAATGTGAAAAGTGATAATTTATTTATTTATTAATTTACAAAAGGTTTTCAAACAGCTTCTGTATACAAGTTTTTATGGGAAATATAACATGAAGCCTAAGTTTTATACAGTTGCCAATAATAGAATAACCAACATTCTTTAAATACAATATGAAAACCCAAATTAAAGCTTACAATCCAGAAATTATGAGATGGAATTAATAAACATATAAAGGTTACATTTCTATCTAAAGGTTGTCTGGAAGAAATCACCTTGTGCGATAAGACCACCCATTGTAATCACAACATTCAGTCATAGTATCCAATGTATTGCTACTTGGTGTATGTGTGCAATAAAGTATATATAAATAAATAAATAAATAAAAACATAAACTTAACTATAGGTACAAATCATGTTCTAAAATTAACAAAAACAAACATTAAAAATAATGTAACGTGTATCCAATCTTGCAGTCAAAATGGTTGGAACTTTCATTTTTAAAAACATTAACCTATTGTATGTAGTTATGTTTAAACTGTAAATTCTTCTTACCACTTTCAAAGATTAAAATCTATACTAATATTATAAAGAGGTAAAATTTGTAAGTCTGTTTGTTGGTTAGTTTGTATGTAGGGGGTAATCTTTGAACCGCTGGTCGGATTTACAAAATTCTTTGACTGATAGATAGCTACAATGTTCCTGAGTGCTATAGGCTATAAAACATCACGCTACGATTATTAGCGGGTAAAACCGTACGTTAGTAACTAGTACATTATAATGTAAATTAAGTCTTTACAGTTTACTAATCTTTAAATTTATCCCCGTAGGGAGCCACAAGCCATCACCTTGGCCAGAACTTCTCGAAGATGTTCGAGGTGGTGTACGACGATCCCGACACACAGGAGAAGAAGTATGTCTACCAGAACTCTTGGGGTATCACCACCAGAACCATTGGTATGTACTACATACACTCATCCAAGTATTATATTGTATTATACATAATTGCTACTTTCGTCGGTAAAGAATATATTATTTCAACTTGAACTTCATTAAAATACGCATATTTAAAAGAAAATGACGTGTTTGTCGAATTGGATATATCTGTAGGGATAGTTATTATAATAAAATAATATAAATTTCTATAACAAAATTTGAATCAAACCCTTACTTGAATCGATATAAATATATATAAGGTAGCTACATCTAAGTACCTACATACAAATAATACCAATTTAGGTACTTCTACTTCTACACATTTAACTCAGAATACAGAACAAACCAGAATCCGCGTTCACTCATAATTACATGTCGTCGAATGTGTCCAAAAACAATACGTCAATCCCCCCGCCAGCCGCACTTCCCACCCGCGTAGTGTTGCCGACAGTGGAACAATTCCCTTGGTTTGGGGTAATTTTACAACAGGAGGGTAAGATACGAGTAAACCCAACAAAATAGGTAAACTTACGATAAATGCAACAGACTAGTTGTTCACACATTTCATAGAGGTATCATAAAAGTTGACGATTTCTGGCTGTGTTAATTTTAGTTACACCTACTATACACAACAAATAAAATAAAGCTTCAATAAGTACAAAGGTTTTATTGCGTTCCCTTTTGCTGGTTTAGTTTTTTTAATATGTCTTTAGACTCGGAACTAAAGATTAGAAGTCTACTTACTTTACTTAGTTTCTGAGATAAGCACATTCTAGCAAACAAACAAACAAACTCTTCAGCATTATAATTAGTATAGATATATCTTAGTAGGATACCTATGCTGTTTTCAAACCACCTTTGTCATAAATATATCTCTTCAAAGTGAATTGAGCAAACTATGCTCTGGCTAGATGGTTTCCAAAATTAATCTAACCGTGCCCTTTGTATGATTTGTATTTATTTTTTTGTCAGGGAAACTAATATGACATAGGCTCCATAATGGACAAAAATATAACCCACAACAAATAAATAAGTGCGTAAAATTTATTTATTTAAATAAACACTCACAAAATGACCGCATCATTTTCATAGAAAAATAAATCGATAAAAAAATTTCAATAATTAATTAAATATACTATTGCAGTCGATGCTTGCAGATGAAATGTAATCTTATCCACTTTTTTCGTAATTCCAGCCGCATTTTTACTCGTAGTAATAACACAAGACGACATAGTGAAATTAAAATTGATACTCGTAAATACGTCACGACATGCCACGTGCCAAAATTGACTAATTGTAGAAATTTCATACTATTCTAGTTGAGAATGGTTTTGGTTGCTTTAGTTTGAAGCACGATGACGCCTTCTGGTTTGTTCTGTATTCTGAGACATTTAAGTATTCAAGCACTCTACTCGAAATAATAGCTTCGACAAGAAAAGTAATCGACAGACTGACACTTTATCTTAAGTCTTTGTTTAACGATCTAAAGTGCCTGTAGGAAGGATCTAATTGATATACGATACGACCTTCAAACTTTCAAGAAATGAAAGATACTCCTTCTAAAAAGGCCGGCAACGTGCCTGTGACTCCTCTGGTGTTGCAGGTGTCCATGGGCGGCGTCGATCACTTACCGTTAGGTGATCCGTATGCTAATTTGCCTTCTATCCCATAAAAAATTGAAATAAATGATTTCGATTTTGACTCAACAAAAACTCTTCGCTCCCAGGTGTAATGGTCCTGGTCCACGGTGACGATAAAGGACTGGTCCTTCCACCCCGAGTAGCAGATGTCCAAGCAATAGTAGTACCTTGTGGTATCACCGCTTCAAGTACAACAGAGGAGAGGAACAAACTTATGGACTCTTGCAAGGAACTCGTCAAAGACTTGGTCGCTGCCGGCATAAGGGCTGAAGGAGATTATAGAGATAATTACTCGCCTGGGTGGAAGTTCAACCACTGGGAACTGAAGGTATGGATCTTGTTTAAGGATTATTGTTTTTTTTGTCTAACCAGGTAGCACGAGCCAGTGAGGCTAAAACTGCCTTAGTTGATTGTCAAATGGTTGTTTGAACGTTTTCTTTAGAATAATGGACCATATTACTCACTAGCGCCATGCGGATAGTTTGGTACTTCATTGAGTCAAAATTAATAAGCAATAAAAAGTATTTTTTTTAATTATATTTTCTACCTTGATTTTACGATATACTTAATAATTATCGGTAGGTAAAACTACTTATTGAGTTTGATACGATTTTTGTTGCAAAAAATATGACGTAACAACTCTAAACCTCTCTCAAAGTTCAATTGTAAAAAGAATAGACAATCGTATTTTTTTCATTCGTAATTTTTAATTCATAAAAATGTTAAAAGTTGTCAAGTATGAAATTCTAGTGCAAAATAGGGTGACTAGCGCGCTAGACATTATTTTTTTTTTTTCATAAACTGGCAACAATCTTTACTTGTTGCGGATACCCCTGATCTCGATCACCCCTGATCATTTGATTTGAATCTCATCAGGAAAAATATTTACTCTAGTAAATAACAAAAGTTATGATATTAAAATGAATTATAATAACATTATTTATTCATTAGGGTGTACCAGTGCGTGTAGAACTCGGTCCCAAGGACATGGCGCGCGGTGAGATCGTGGCCGTGCAACGCTTGACTGGGGACAAGAAGACGTACAAACGTGCGGAAGCTGGGAAACTACTGCTCGAACTGTTGGACCAGACTCACAACCAGATGTTCGAAAAGTATGTGGAATTCATTTCTTGTTTCTTTCTGTAGGCCTACCATGACGTGATGAGAGGGATAGTGCTATAAAAGGTGTATAGCTCCATCCCTCTTTCTCGCCCGGAAGATTGACGCTTTAACACGTAACTGTAGGGCTTCTGTTCTTTTTTTGAAAAACGTTACCAAAAGGCCGGCAGCGCACTCGTAACTTCTCTGGCGTTGCGTGTGTCGATGATTGCTTTACGCCAGGCGATCAGTCTGTTCGCTTATTTCATTACAAAAATCCCAAAAGAGATTTTAATACTCCAATAATGTTTCACAGGGCAACCAAAGAGCGTGATGCGAGGTTAACCCTAGTAACGAAATGGGATGACTTCACCAACGCTTTGGAGCGTAAATTCATCTTACTGGCGCCCTTCTGCGGTGAGATACCTTGTGAAGACAAAATCAAGAATGACAGTGCAAGGTGAGTTGGTTCTTGTATTATATTGACGGTCAATGTTTTATGTCCATAGGACAGCAAACATAAAATATTATAATTCAATACATTAAAAATAATCACTTTCATTTGTTGATGAAATTATTGCTTTGATATTTGTTTTAGTAGAAAATAAATAAGTATGCAATTTGATCTAAGAAGGTTACAATGCCACAAGAAATTGCTTTATCATACAAAATTATCAGTTTTGGTGTTTCGAAAAACGCGTGCGTTCGTGCAGCGGAATGTTGTTGAATTTAAAGATTTTAATTATGCAGATATTTAGTGTATGACGTCGTGTAATTGTGTACGGTAAAAAAAATTTGTGCACGCAACCATTGTGGAGAAATTCACCAAAAACTGATTCCGCTGGGCGAACGTTGTCCTGGCGGAACTTTTTTTAATCCGTAGACTTTAGAAGAAAAGAGATGTATCCAAAAATTAGTGTGTATTTGTGTGTAATTGTGTATGTATAAATAAAACTAGTGCATGCATAAACTTCGGAGAAATTCAAGTTTCCGCTACGCGAACGTTTGGCCATTAGCTAGTTTTCATATAAAGCGCTTACATAGAGAGCTGTAGATTTTTACATACGTTGTTTTGAATTTGTTTATATTTGTTTAAAAAACAGATTTAGAAAAAATCGTAGGGTTTAAAAGATAAAAATATAAACGTAAAATACGCTTATTAGGTCTTAGTTCTTAAAGTAAGCTCTTTGGGGTCTAGATTTTCACGTTTATACAAACCTTGTAAGTGTCTGCAACATGTTGCCAAGTATCAAGGATGTTCCGTTAGTAATTAAATAGTTATAGGACAAATTTACCATGAATAGATCACTGTTTACAAAGCAGTCAAATATCACGACTTTCTAAATGAATTGCATGGTAAAATGTATGCCAATAATTAGTGTATTCATTCAACTATTCACGTGCAAAATTTCATGTCATTAAATTCAGTAATTAAAGAAAAACAATTATAATACTGACGAAGCATCGAAAACCTACATAACCCGACCAAGTTCGGATGGCTACAAAAAAGCGGCCGTGCCATATATCTACGAAACGTTCTTAACTTTCCAATATAGCATTTATTAATATGGTACAGTATCGTACACAAGCATTAGGAAAAAATGAAACACAGTATCGTACACACGCTCGTGCATGCCTCTATTGGTTAAATAGTGTAATAAAAAATATTGGTTAAATAGTGTAATAAGCTACAATATAATAAATATTTACCTAAACAGTAGTACTTAAGTACTTACATGTGGTAAATATTTAATTTCCCTAAGGGGTCTATAGTTAGAATCCTGATCCGTGAAATCTTCAATAGAAATTAGCTGTATGAATTTTATTTGTCTTAAATATAATTAGATTATATCTCAAGTCTCAAGCGCATACTTAAATAAAGTACCTACGTAAACGGTACCTACTTTCTGTCATAGTCAAATACTTTTAAAAAAGTAGGTGTCCAAAAATAAATGACCTATAAATTATTTCGAAACAACAAGTGTGTTATCACCTGTACCAATTCAATACCGGTATTATACTGTAAATTTTGGGATGTTACCTAAATATATTGCACAGCCGCTTTTTTGTAGCCATCCGAACTTGGTCGGGTTATGTAGGTTTTCGATGCTTCGTCAGTATTATAATTGTTTTTCTTTAATAACTGAATTTAATGACATGAAATTTTGCACGTGAATAGTTGAATGAATACACTAATTATTGGCATACATTTTACCATGCAATTCATTTAGAAAGTCGTGATATTTGACTGCTTTGTAAACAGTGATCTATTCATGGTAAATTTGTCCTATAACTATTTAATTACTAACGGAACATCCTTGATACTTGGCAACATGTTGCAGACACTTACAAGGTTTGTATAAACGTGAAAATCTAGACCCCAAAGAGCTTACTTTAAGAACTAAGACCTAATAAGCGTATTTTACGTTTATATTTTTATCTTTTAAACTTTACGATTTTTTCTAAATCTGTTTTTTAAACAAATATAAACAAATTCAAAACAACGTATGTAAAAATCTACAGCTCTCTATGTAAGCGCTTTATATGAAAACTAGCTAATGGCCAAACGTTCGCGTAGCGGAAACTTGAATTTCTCCGAAGTTTATGCATGCACTAGTTTTATTTATACATACACAATTACACACAAATACACACTAATTTTTGGATACATCTCTTTTCTTCTAAAGTCTACGGATTAAAAAAAGTTCCGCCAGGACAACGTTCGCCCAGCGGAATCAGTTTTTGGTGAATTTTTCCACAATGGTTGCGTGCACAAATTTTTTTTTACCATACACAAATATACGACGTCATACACTAAATATCTGCATAATTAAAATCTTTAAATTCAACAACATTCCGCTGCACGAACGCACGCTCGAAAAACTATTTTGTCTAGTTAGAAACTACATACCCTATTGGTATACCTATCCAGCCATATATAGACTAGTTTTATAGGTCATGATCCATCTACATACCTACTCAATTGTGTCCATAAATCAACCATTATTTCAAATGTGCTTACCTACTATAATTAACCCTTATTTTACTACCCCGCAAGACCAATACTAAATCTACAACAAAAGCTTTATATTGTATTTGATGTTTGTGTTTATTTATATTTTTTATGTTTATATCCGCAGGACGGATGATGACCCTACAACTGAGGTGAAGGCTCCTGCTATGGGTGCGAAATCCCTATGTATACCATTCAAGCAGCCTCGTGAGCTCACTGCAGAAGATAAGTGCATCAACCCAGCCTGCACCAACAAACCCAAGTTTATCACACTCTTTGGAAGAAGTTACTAATTAATTAAAAAAATTAAACAAGAGCAACTTTTTTACAAAAATATATAATTTATTATTCAAATTTGTGGTTTTATTTTTTTTATCCATCATTGCATTATAATAAACATTTAATAAAGATAACATTATTGTCACTGTTAACAAATTTATATTTGAATTATTTACATTTTTATTATATCAAATCTCTTTAAACAACTGCAGGTAGAGATTTAGGTGGTTTTGCTACACAAATTCACTTTTTGCTACAACTGTATCTTCACAATTTGTCATTATTCACTAGCCGAAACTTTAGAAATCTTTTGCAAGCTCCCTTCCATAACCTGTATTCTTCTTTTCTTAGCATTCAATAGTTGCACAAACTTCCCATAAAGGCTGGTCTCCAAAGAGGACTTTATATCCACAAACTTTTCTAATTCAGCTTTGCATTTCTTCAAATCATTGCTGATAGCTTCATTGTTTTCATTTAAATCATGAATAACACTTCTCAGTTCTTGATTTTCTTCTATTAAGAAGTCTAGAAGTAAGTCTTTAGATTCCTTGGTGGTGTCACGGTGCACGGGCACAGAGCCATGGACAAGGGTGGCGAGTCCATGCATCGAGTCTTCAAACTTCTTCTTCCAGGTGAATGTAGCAGAGTCGTTATTATCTGGATTTATAGTAAAATCGTAAGTAAAGCCACTATGGTCACGACCTTTTAGGGTCTTCTTAACTTGTTTAATGTACTGTTCCTCGATTTCTTCAAAGCGTTCTCTGTATTTTTTAGCTAATTCGTTTGTAAATTTTCCTGACCAAGATACGTCGCCGTCAAAAATTTTGATGTGAAATAAGTCATGATGGTTGTGTTTCCACAACACTTTAACAAACAACGTTTTGTCCTTTACTACGAATTTCGTGATGGACGTACTTTTTTTAATATCCTGATCCATTATAAAGTGTAATGGATCAAAATATTTTCTCGAGACTTGTAACTTGTTGATTTGGATTTGACAGATTTTATTTGTTTACAAATTTGACAATGACATCATGTTTTACGTTGACATTGACAGAATGAACATTTTTTAAGGAATAGATACAGGTATTTTTATCACCTCATATGTTGAATACTAAACCGCGTCAAAATGTATAAAAATTGGCGAAGAGACAGAATTTGAAGAAGACACAAGGCCTTTCTTTGGTTTGGTGATGCGCGTGACGGCTAAAAGATAGTACAAAATGTGCACTAAAAATATTCTCGCCCTGGTTGCAAAATGCACTATAGTGTTTATATGTTTAATATTCAAGACTCAATTACAATAGTTTTCCTAGGCGCCTGCTTCGTATGCGGCGGGAGGAAACGCCCGGGTGTTGTCAATGTGAGGATTGTCGTCATAGGCTGGGTGCTTTGGTTGAGCACCATCGTGTCCTCAAGGAAGTGATTGGCGGGCGGCGAATTCTCGCATCCAGCCCCAATCGGAATCGGAACTGGGAAATCGTCTCCACTTTCTGCGAAGCAGCGATGCCTCAAGCCAAGCTAATAAGAACGGGCTCCAGGCACCAGGGATCCAGCTACGATGCTACGATCTCCGGCCACCGTAAGCATGGGACTGCAGTCGGCGAGCATCGTATATTGGATCTTTGATTACTTTATGTAATCAAAGATCCAATATACTAGGTACCACAGATGGGGTCCAACAGGTTCAATTTTCAGCCGGAGTTGAGTAGAGTGAGAGCCGAAACCGCGGAACCTTATTCCGATTGACGGGTTAAACGGGTTCCGCGGTTTCGGCCTCGAGCAGAAGAAGAAAAGAGGGTTTTTTAGTCAGTAAGAGTCTGACACTCCCTCTTCCTAGAAGTGATGATTTTCTCCCTCAAAAAAAGGACATCACATATGAAACGCATAAGAATCAATGCTAGGCCGGGGTTACGGGTGCAGGCGATGGGCGATAACGTCACCCCGGCCCAGCTTTTATCAGCAGCCGAGCTTGAAGTAGCTTTTCACATTTCTTTGTGGTATGCGTTTTGATTGCGCAAATATAAAAACGTCTCCAATTAGCAACTTAAATAATTAGTTTTTGAATTTCTATAAGAGCTTGTTCTAAAGGTTGTCTGAAGAGAATGAAAAGATCGCCTTGTGCTATAACACTGTTCTTTATTACAAAATAGAATTTTGTAAATTATCCTATGTAAGTAGGTACTTATCTACATATATGAAGTTTATAAAAATAAATAAATGAGTAATCACTGCTGTTGTTTACACTAGTTACTTACTACTACTACTTACCTACTTATCAGAAAATATCAGACCACCTTAATTGATTTATCTCGTATGATGGATAATTGCGATTTTGCTGATAGTACCTTGATTAATTTAGTAAGTACAAAGGTGATTAATTTTATTATTATCAACATAAGATTTTACTATTAGATAAAATCGTAAAAACGTGTGGCGAGTAATGGAAGAACCCATACCATATTATCGCCTATTTATCTTGCTTTATCTATGTCCAAAATAGCAAAGTAGGCACCTATTTTTGTCTTAAAAAAAAAACGTTGCCCCACTTTAGGATTTTCTTCTGTGTTGCGGGTCCGTTTACAAACATACAATTTCACATACACATCACACCCAGACCTGTAACAACAATTTGTGGATCACATAATAATATAATAGTGTTGTTCCTTGCGGGAATCGACCCCGCGACACCAGCTGCCAGTTGCCCAGCCACCGCGCGACAGAATTATATGCTAATAGCGGTAGCTCGCTGCTCCGCCCGCGTGGATATCGATTTTACATTTAGCATTTTAGCACACCAATTTTACAAATAAAATTCCTTTGTTTCTTACAATACCTAACGTCTATCAATATTTATCTATAAGCGAAGTCAAGTCGAGTCAGCTAATACACTTTTATACACCCCATAAACGAGTTGTGGACCCCCATTTTTCCAGACGCAATAGTATAGATGCCTTTCGGGCTCCACTAGATCCCTAGGGGTCTAACTGAACTACTTTGGGAATCAATGTTTTAGGGCATAGTATCAAAGCCAGAAAAACCGAAAGATTTTATCTTTAACTTATTACTGTACAAACACGTAACGATTTTTAAAAAGATAAATACTATTGTTTATGTTGATTAAATTAAAACTAATTAGCAAAGTCCAATTCGATTGTTTTTCATAGGTTTCTTTATCTGTATTGGTAGATAGATAGATAAACATTTTCTATTTTAACAAACCTAGTCTGTAGGTTTAATTAACAACTGAATCACCAAACACGTGTTTCGTCAACGGGCTGATTGCGATGCTATCGTCAAAAATTGTGTTTACTCATCACTGCATAGCATTAAATAAAGTCGCCTTCTCTGTCCCTATATCCCTAAGTAGGTAGGCTTAAATCGAAGGTCTATATGTATAATGTGGGAGAGCCATGCTTCGGCACGAATGGGTTGGCTCGACCGGAGTGATACCACAGCCTCACAGAAAACCTGGATTGAATTAACCACAGCTTTATATTTCGTCGTCTGAGTAAGCTTAACGAGGGCCCAATCCTCGTCTTTCCACATCCATCCCCAATCCCTTAATCTCCAAAAGACCGGAACTGCACTTGCAACTCCACTGTTCTTGCGGTGTCCATGGGCGGTGCCGATTGCTTCGTCTAGTTTCGTTGTCCACCTTGTTACAAAATATAGGTAAGAGAGATAAACAGACGGACGGATAGTGGAGTCCTAGTGAAAACGTTTAACAATACAACATTTTCCGTACAAATAATATCTTCTGATTTATTTCGTTGCGGGATCCAAGACAGTCATTCATGTCCCTGGGACGCGCCGGACTTCAGTGTTCCGGTGTTTTCAAGGTTGTATCTACTGTAGATTCTGGCTTACAGGAGTTGCAGCGGTTTTGGAACATTGCGGCGGGCTTGTCCCATTAAAAAAATAGTCATAGTGAAAAAGCAATAGGTACCTACCTACTACCTAGTAGGTTGGTAACATATAAGTTGTTTAGAAAGAAAACAACCGTTGCATCACGCAAGATCAATTTAAAGAGACGTAGATAGGTATCTAGGACTACTTATTTGAATTGCCTATATTTTACAATAACTACGTGCGTCAGATTCCACGTGTTATGCCTACCTATTAGGTTAGATAAATATTCCCTGATTTTAGGTCTGCCATGCTTGCACACTTAAGCGATGGAATGTTAGTTGATGTAGTGAAAACGTGTGTATGACTTGTTCCTCTTCTTTGGGGTACCTACAAAATAATTTTTATTTTAAAAGCTAAGTAATACCTAATTAGATGTTAGGCTACTACTTGTACGTCTGTGTGCAATCGCTCTTACCACCTAACATTTAGATTAAACGATTAAAGGACTACTATATATTAGGCAAAGGTAAGAAACAAAATTCTCTTTGATAAATATAAACCCTAGGCACCGGCTGCAAATATTAAGGATGGTTGATCCAGCCGCCGCAGGAGATGTTTCGAGAGTTGACGATCTCCAGCCACTATAACCTCAGGTCTATTGACGATGAACAAAGTAAGTTCCCCACCCAACCAGAACCAATCCGTTGTCGCGCCGCGTTTCGAGCGCGCCAAAGAGCTAATAGACCACCACAGCTATGGGGCCCAACGAGGCTGAAGTTTAGCGAGAAACAAAGGTACCACGGCCTTGCCCTGGAGCAGGAAAAGGCACGAAAACGTAAGATTTACCTTTGTTTTAAATAAACCTTAAATCTGATTTTATTTAAGTACACCCTACCGATTAGGGCGTTTTATGAAAAACAACCTATTGATAGCTCATTTGACTAGATTTAGTTAACTTTTGATTGATCCATATTAAACGTATCAATGATTTAAGTACCTAATAATGTGATCGTATCAAAGTCGTGTGCAGTACCTACTGTTTCGATGTAATGTGTCCTATCAGATTGGCAGCATATCAAACTATCCAAAACTTAAAATAATCTATAATCAATCAATAGAAAAAATATTCAATAGATTTCCAACCTTAACAACTACGTGTTAATGTTGGAAATCTATTGAATATTTAGTAAGTTTGGAGTAATTTAATGTGTCTGTCTTTACATATATAATGTAAAGTCACGTGTAGTTATTTATCAGTACCTAAGGACCATGGCTACGTATAGGACGCTTATGTTATTGTGCTTCTTAGCCGCACCGGCTATCGGTGAGTAACATTTTTGTACCTGTTTTCGAGAGATAAGTGTTTTAAATTGTTATTTCTACTGGTTTACTTACGTAACAAATGTTTGAAGAGGATCTGTAGGTACTATTTTCAAGCCAGGCTAGGGGCTCATATTCATGACTTGCATAGCGGCTATAGGCTGTAAAACATCACGTTAGGACCAATATATTTCGATATAGCAATCAATATACTACCAATATACTATCGAGAAGAGAGTGAAATCGCTCGGGAGTAGCTGGGAAATAATTACTGCCGCTGCCCATCGCAAACGTAATCCTTATGAATATGAGCCCCCGTGTAAGTGGAAACTTGTGGAGCTTTCGTCTATTCGTTCAAGTCAGCAAGCTGTACAAAACCTAGATTCTAAAAGCGGCTTCGACCGCGTTACCGGGCAAAAATACCCATATGCTTATTCTATACTACGAATAATTATAATCTTTCGTATTATTAAGGGCCTCTTCTTAATTATTTAAGTACATAAATAAATACCTAGAGCGCTGAAAATATTTTGTGTTAAGTATTAATTATTATACATAGTAATTGGTATGTATATTTTGCTCATAGAGACCGGTCACAGTCAGTGATCATTGGTTTTAATTCGTCTTTAATTACGTTCTCGTCTTCATTTTGATTATAATTAACTTATGAATTAATTTTTGACTTTAGAATGCTGAAGTAAACAAATACTTATTTATTGCTTTTTGTTTCAGGAGCATGGCAGGGAGGATTAAATGGTAAGAAAATGACTGTGGGTACTCTAGGCTTAGGCGATAGGGATGATAATACAAGACTTTTTTATATCCATTTGACAGATTACATAATACATATTATTAAGAAAAAATTTAACGTTCTTTTTGAAACCTTGAACGTAATCAAAAGAGGTTTTTTTATGGATAGGGTGGCGAACGTTTAGAATAATCACCTGATGGCAATACCAGAGAATAAATGTTGCAAGTGTTTTGTCGACGTTTTGGGGGTTACGATGAAATTGGGGATTTGGGATGTTCTTTAAGTATTTTATTTTTATGTCATAGGTTGGCAATGTAGCAGACTGATTACCTGATGGTAAGCAATCGGCGACGCCCATAGACACCCGTTACACCAGTGAGCTCCGATTGTGGATTAGGATTTCAGAGATTTAGGGAACCCCACTTACGCGACGAAACACAACGTTGTGGTTGTTTCACGCTGGTTTTATCTGAGGTATGATTACCTTCGAGCCGACCCTTCGTGTCGAAGCTTGGCTTTCCTACACTCTAGGGAATGAAAGGAGGCAAGGATTGGGCTTCCAGTAACCTCACTGACACGGCGAAGTGTGCGCTAGTTTAAATGATCCAGTGAATTATCATCATCCTTATTTTATTTTACATAGAGTCCTGATTTAAGTACCAATTATTAATTTACATTCCTGTTCTAGTTCGCTTCGACATCACAGTTGTCGGTATTGGAGTTACAGCGTTCATAGAACTGCCCCAGTCCAACACGACAGCGGCTGAAAAGAACTGGGTGCGACTGACCCGGCCTGAAGGTCCTGCGGGTCTAGCTTCTCTGGTCTTATGGTGTCCACCTACTGATTACACTGTTTGTGTGCTAATCGATGATACCGGGTACATTGCTGGACTGCAAATTGCTGTATGTATTTTGCTCTTGGCTTCTATGTTGTCCTAGTACTTTTTGTGTTCGGTAAAGGTCGCCAGTAGATTTTTGAATTGCGAATGTTAGAGCCAAAATATTAGGCAAATTTTTATATGACAACCTAATTGTTAATGGAAAATATTATTTACCTAATATTTATTATAACCTAACTCCTTCAATCTAATGGTAAGCGCATCAGCGTCATGGACACCTGCAGCACCGGAGGAGTTATGAGTGCGTTACCGGCCTTTGAGATTAAGGTATCCGAGTTCTAGAGATTTGAGAGAGATATTGGGGGGGGGGGGGGGGAAGGATTCGGCCTCCGGTAATCTCACTCGCACGGGAAACAACGCTATGGTTGTTTTTTTTTGTTTCGTTAGAAAAATAGATTTTACTGAGCTATTGTCCCTCTATCTAAACCGAACCACTTGGCTAAAACGCACCTACATAAAAACTGTTCATCTGTTTGTAATGTGAGAGGCATGTAAGTGATATCCGAATCGAGTAGTAATCCACCGGACTGATACCAAGGCCTCACAGAAACAGGAGTGTAACAACACTCGTTTTCGCTGTGTGAGTTAGGTTTCCCTCCCAGGTAGGGAGAACGGAGGGGTAAAGAGACCGGAAAATTTTCTGTCTTACCTAGTGGGTATCCATAGACTGTTTACCATCAAGTGGGAGTTTTAGAGTTAGTTCAGTCGCAAAAAACGTAGGTATAAAAATAACAATAAGTACAACTTGGTCAAAACTGTATAAGTATCTAAGAATCTACTCACGCAAATTTCGCTCTTGTAAAATTAAACTCCTCACTTTGTAGCTGGATATAGAGAAAGTCACTGGCAACACGTTTGACATGAGAACTCAAGGATTCACATACTGGACGACAAACCTGAATGGAGAAACTAAGAATTACTGGACTACGCAACAGTATTACATATCACCTGGTAAGCACAACTATTACAATTTGTAGGTATAGTACTTTACCCCGCAATGACAATGCAAATTCCAGGATCTCCCAGGCTGAGTTCGTTACGAGTGAGAAACTTGGCAAAACAGAGCCTTAAAAATGGCTTTGTAAAGATTCGTTACTGTTCTTCCTAATTCAATAGACTGCATTCCCATCCAACCAATTCGGGTGGCAATTTTTGCAGATATCCCCACTCTACTATCTACCTGGTACTTTTCTTGGCTTGGCCCCAGTCCGGCAGCAGAAGAAGAAACGGTGTGAATTTCAGTCTGATACACCCCCTGACCCCACACAAGTCATTGAAATAAAGACCAGTATTTATCTCTTTCCAAAATGTATCTAACAAATGACCTTCTTTTTAGAAACTCTTGCGACCGACCCAGCTAACAGGATAGCGGCGCGTGATCCGCACGTTTTGTTGCAAGACCATTCCATTTACGTGTCTAGCTTCAACGGGGAACTTCTCGCCATCTCCACCAATACAAGTGACATTGCCCACAACAGTGACTTCACGGAGCAAGCTTGTATCCCTGGGATGGGTGAGTGGAAACCAGGAGACAGCGCCACTAGGTGTTCTTACTGGCACTTTCCCTTAGCTACGCTTTATTTAAGTACTTACCGTAATATTGGTAGACAGTGGTGTTGGTTGATATTGTCATACCATCAGCCTATAAGTGCCTACTCTTGGGCAAAGGCCTCTTCTTACACGGGGAAGTTTTGAGTATTAATCAATACGCTTTCTCAAGGCGAATACAATAAAATTGGGAGACACAGGTTTCCTCACGATGCTTTCCGTCACTGATTGTCAGTGGTAGTGATGCCTTGAAACGTTTGAACTTATACTTAAAAGTACCTATATGCTACTCGGAAAAATCACATTGGTAATTGCCAGCTTTCGAACTGGCAATCTCAGGCATGAGAAGCGGGCGCTTTAATCGTACCACCACGACCGGTTGAAGATATTTGGCAATATATATGATTAATGAGTCAATAGTCAAAGATCTATGAAGTTAGTAAGAACCGATGGAAGGTTTAATATTTTCGCCGTTTTTATAAATTCTTATTTTTATTCCAGGTGACCACTACTACTATAAGATGACCCCGGAGCTGAAGTGCACTGAAGATAACTTAATGCCTTGGTTCCCCCTCGTGCACTCGGACCAGCTCATTGGTCTCGGCATGGTCACCTACGGCAGGCACACCGTCAGCGAGGGTGCTACCGACTGGTTCGAGACCCCTACTAGGGGAGTCATTATGGTAATTATCATTTCCCCTTCAAGCTTAAAGTTCCTTTAGAGATTGTTGCCAATATAACCTGTGGTAGAGCCAGTACAAGAAACATATGAAGTGACAAAGCTGGTTGGACTGACTATATGCCTTTACCTACTTGGTATACGTGTTGTGGCCTTTAGTATTATACCTAATAAAAATGTGTAGGTAGTTTAAGGACTATGCTTGTCCATAAAGAAGTCTGCGAAGGATTTTTGGATGGGGAAAAATCACCAACTGGCTTCTCCCGTCCTGGATGGGGCGTCAGATATTTTATACTGACTAAATACCATCCTGTTCCTTCTCCAGCTTCGGGTTAGAGGCGTAGTCCATTTTCATCCGCAAGATCACCGACTTTGTATCTGAGATCTATTGATCTGAAGCTGTTTTTGTGCTGACAACACTGTTGGTGGTTCGTCAAAAAAATAGTTTAAGTTTTGAAGTAGGTAATTTGAAAAGTTAGGTATCATTAAAATTTTTGGTACTTATTAACATAATTTTTAAATTACTTTCAGGCTATCGTTCCTAGAGGTCCCCAGTGCATGTACGACTTAGCAGATTCACCTGGAGTCATCACAATGCACACGTACTTCATCAAACATCCATATGAAGTGACTTGTTTGGTTTGATATTATTGATTTAGGCGCATGACTCTGATAGTGTATCTATGATTTTTTAATTAATAAAGGCTTATGTTATAAAGAATGAATATTTTATTCTAGCTTCTTTTATTCTTACTTGTATTGAGAGGGTTAATAAAGTGGCACGGGTTTCTATTCAGTTTTTCAAGTACCTACAAAATCTTCGAAATTACTAAACTGATTTAATACAACGACTACCCTCTTATTACAAAACAAGATATAAGTATCTATAGTCTAGGTTCAAACCATTGAGTCAGGTTTTGAATTTTGAATCTTATTCTCACCTACCTTCAATTTGAAATACAAAAACTGGCTAAATGGTTTTTGGAGGACTTTTTTTTTGTAATAAGGCTGTTAGAATAACTTATAAGTACTTAATAGCCCTATTTTTCTTAACTTTTTTTTTCGGTTGTTCGTCGACCCTAGTGGCACCTTTAGTGGTCCAAAGACTCTTTGAAGTATGGGCAGTTAATGTAGTTGAAGGTTACGTTATTCTATAATTAGGGAACATCACATGCCAGTCCCTAATCTTTGTGCCATTTTTAAGGCAAGCAATTTTGACGAAGCAAGTTTTCTGCAAGGAGAAAACTTGCAGAGTAGGTAGGTAATAATACTTAATACAATGTATGAAATAAATGTTCACTTCAAAAATTTAATTGAAAAAATAATGTACATAATTACAGGTTAATATTTTCAACTGACACCAGTTGGTGCTTTGAACGATCTTTTCTTGACTTTCTGTTGTCTACGCTTCAGATGTCGCTGTATCCTTCCAGAACCTTCCTTCTTCAGTTCCTCATACTGCTTCACTAACGCTTCAACACGTTGTTCAGCTGCAATTAACAAACACCAATTTATTATTCACGTATTATTTAAATACAGGTATTCCAATAAAGGAAATGGATTTATCGACTGTCTTGTATGATTAGCCTCTAGCAGATTATTCTGATATGTATACTAATATTATAAAGAGGCAAAATTTTTAAGTTTGTATGTAGGGGGTAATCTTTGGAACTGCTGGTCGGATTACCAAAATTCTTTCACTGATAGATAGCTACAATGTTCCTGAGTGCTATAAAACATCACGCTAAGATCAAATGGAATTGAGCAGCGGGCGAAACCGCGCGATAGTAGCTAGTTTAGAATAATCTGTAGACTGCCCAGTTGGCGTGCTAGCTGGGTAACTGGAACATGTTACGGATTTGTGTGATCTAAAAATTTTTCTTCCGGGGCAGGGTGTCATGTGCATGTGAAACTATATATTTGTAACAGCACGACACAGGAGAAAACCCTAATGTGGGGCAATGTTTCATAATAAAATAGTAAAGAAATAACTTACATTTATTCTTGAAGTGCGGTTGTTTCCCAGCCCTAAACTCTTGTTCAATCTTTTCTCTATTCTTCTCAACTACTTCTTTCTCCACCTTACTCCTCTTCGTGTGTTTGTGCTGGTCATTCAATCGCTGCAGTAGTCTCCGCAGCTTAATCTGTCTTTCAGGGTCTGTAGTTTCTTTCAGTTCCGCCCTTATAGCCTTAATATCTTTTATACGTATGTCTGATAGAAAATTATAGTCCTCCGCAAACTGTTTCTTGTCAAATTCACCACAGAGAGGGTCAAATCTGGAAACATAGTTATTTGTTAAAACAAGGACAAATCGAAAAAAAATACTGCAATCCTTCAGGAACAACAAAGTATTAAAAGAAGAAGAATGACATGCATTTTTGAGTCACTTGTTTAACCCTTTAACCGCCTACGTCGGATTAATCCGACAAATATTTTCGGGCCCATTTCGCCAGAGTCGTATATTTACGACCAAAATATCACTGCTCGTTTAATCAGCTTTTTTATTTAATTACGCTGTAATTTATTAAAAATGTGTTTATATTAGGTAAATAGTTAACTAAGTAATCATTTACAGTTTAATACACTTTAGTCTCTTAATTAAAAGTCCTAAAAATAATGTCCAAAGTTAGATAAACTACCTACTAACATTATTTTTCGAAAATTGTATTGATGTGCAACGCCCATGACGATAAAATCCGACTTGAGGGACGGGACATATGCCAAAATTTACCGATACAAAAATAAACATAAATTAAAATATGTCTCGTTATACTGACTAGTTAACTTTAAAACGAACACAGCAATTGTTAATTAAACATTTATTTACAAATATTTGGGAGAATTTCATTTAATTCCTTTAAAATTAAGTAAAATTACTAATGAAATGTCAGCGATTGAATTGATGGTTCCCATCTCTAGCCTACATGTTCCGAAACTTACTTTGTTAGTGCCCTGCGCTACGGTCGGATAAACACGACCGCTTCTTACGTCATAAACGAGTGCATACGACTTAATAGTGTTGTGCTTTTGCATGAAGTTTTACGTTAGTATGTCGATAAATGTACGTGATAGAAAGGATGCATTAACACAAGACATTTTGAATTTGAAAAATAAAGCTAAGTTAAAAATAAATTGCGGGGTTTTTTTTAAAAAAAAAAAATTATTTATTATTTGGAACCCCAAATAATATTAAAGCAAGTAATTGTTTTTATATTTGTATATTAGCTGTCAAAACAACATCGTTTTGAAAATAATTCAGGTTTACATTTTTATTCTGAAGCTAGATTTAACAGAACATGCATTCGAATTCAGCTATCTTACAACTACAACACTTGTAACAACATAATAATTTAAGTTGCTCTTGGACATGTTCACTTCGGAATAACCAGAAACAAAATACGGATAAAAGGTATGTGACGTAAACGACGTGAGGTGCAAACTTAGCATGGTGAGATATAAGTAGTTGTTAGTTAACCATGCTCGCAAATGCAATGTCGTTATTAAAACGAAATATCGACATCGCAAAGTTAAGCATTGCACATCCCTCTTTCTTTTAGGTATTTAATTTTCGATTCACTGTGCCGGGCGCTAGGGACACGCCAACTGTTCTGAAGTCGGGTGGTTAAAAGGTTAAGTGGTATGAATCTTACAACCATAAACATGCTTAGAGTGATTTAAGAATTACTAAAAGACACTAACAGTTGGATATTAAAGTATAAACTATTTCTTTCTTTATAACTTTATAAATAACTGGACATGTATAATGATTTTAATTACAGGATCAATTTCTTTTTTCCCAGTATATATCAATTCAGGAGTTTGATAGGTGGGCAAACTGTGTAGTAAACTAGACCAGTGACAGGAGTCAGAGGTGCCTATGAACTCATTGTACTAGAGTTACGAACACAATTTGATATTGTGTGTTTAGCGGAACATTGGATGAAAGAGGACCAATTAATATCTTTTAATTTTGATAATTATATTGTAATAAGTAATTTTAGTAGAAAGTATATGTTACATGGTGGGTCCTTAATTTTAGTTAAAAATAGCATTAAGTCCAAAGAAAGGAAAGATATTGTAGCACTGTCAGTTGAACACACTATTGAGTTGTCCTGTGTTGAGCTGGATAGACATGTTGTTGTTTGTGTATATAGACCACCTAATTATCAGAATCTTGCATTGTTTGATTCTGTAATGGAAGATGTTTTGAGGAAAGTATGTTCTAGCCATAAATCAGTACTTGTATGTGGCGATTTTAATATTAATTTATTGGAGAACAATACAAGTGGCATGGAGCTATTAAATTTGTTTGAATCATTTAATTTAAAAAATGTTTTTCTAGAACCGACTAGGATAACACCCTCCACAGCCACATGTATTGATAACATTTTTAGTAACTGCAACTATTTAGAAAAAAAAGTTATAAACAGTTTACCTTCTGACCACAGTGGTCTTGTGGTTACTTACAGCTCTTATTTGCCTCTTCAAAAAATTCAAATAAAGTTTAGACATATAACAAATAAAAATTTAGAGAAACTTAATGTTTCATTAGCATCTAAATTAAGTATAGAAAATTTTGATGTAAGTAATCCAAGTAGGTTATACGAAAAATTTTTTACGGTGTTAAATAGGGAATTTCAAGATATTTTGCCAATGAAATATAAAGACGTCTATGCTAAGTTTCAGTTTAGCGATTGGGCTACCGCAGGTATTCGTAAGAGTAGAGATAAACTTTTTGAACTTTATGGCATGAAACCATACAATTGCGACCCTCTTTTTCATCAACATGTAAAATTGTACTCAAAGACATTTAGAATAGTATGCAAAACCGCAAAGCGTCTTTTCATCAGTAATAAAATAAAATCAGCTGAAGATAAGATAAAGGCTACGTGGAAAATAATACAGAATGAGACAGGTAGGAATAAATTAAAACATTCGGCTTTTTGTTTAAACACAGAGAGGGGACAGATTTCGTCAAGCACAGATGTAGCTCAGGAGTTTGAGACTTTTTTTGCTAATATACCTGTCAAAACAACGGCTCATTTAAAATCATCGGCCAGACTATCGGCAACTTTGCTTAGAGAAAATGTTAAATCATGCGAATGCGACTTTAGTTTTCATTATACTAATCCTTTAGAGATAATAAAGGTTTTTAAAGAAATCAAGGTCAAATCAACTGAGGACCTTTGGGGACTATCCGTGAAAGTCTGCGGATCACTTATCCGAACTTTAGCGCCGTATCTGGTTTTGATTTTCAATAAAAGTATAGATGACGGTGTCTTCCCAAACCTAATGAAATACAGTAAAGTCATTCCATTATTCAAAAATGGTGACACTAAGGAACCAAACAACTATAGGCCTGTGTCTGTTCTGCCGGTTCTTAGCAAAGTGTTCGAAAAGTTAATGCTATCTCGGATGCTTCATCACTTTGATAAACATGCCATCTTCCATCACCAACAATACGGTTTCACTAAAGGTCGTTGTACAACTGACGCCGGTGTCACGCTGATAAAGGAAGTACTCGGTGCTTGGGAGGAAGCACAGGATGCTGTTGGTGTTTTTTGCGACCTCTCAAAAGCGTTCGATTGCGTTGATCATGAAACACTCTTGCTGAAATTAGATCATTACGGGATTAGACATACTGCACTCCGTCTACTAAAATCATATTTAGAAGATAGGCAGCTGAGAGTTCATGTGGGTGGTTATAACTCACAGGGCTCTGAGATAAGAATGGGCGTTCCACAGGGTTCAATATTGGGTCCGTTTCTCTTTTTAGTGTATGTTAATGACTTGCCATTTTTATTTAAAGCTGAGCCAAGTATGGTGCTGTTTGCTGATGATACATCATTAATTTTTAAAATAGGTCGACGTTCTAATAATTTTGACGAAGTAAACAGCTCCATTCATCAAGTTCATAATTGGTTTACAGTCAATAATTTAGCACTTAACGAGAAAAAAAACAAAATGTATTAAATTTAGCTTGCCCAACGTACACAGTAATGATTGTAGCATAATTTTAAATGGGCAAAAGTTAGAATTTGTCAAAGAGACAGTGTTTCTAGGTATCACACTAGACAAAAGACTTCAATGGGGTTCCCACATAAAGACGCTTTCGGGGAGACTAAGCTCTGCTGTTTTTGCAGTTAGACAGATAAGACAGCTCACAGACGTGAACACAGCAAGGCTTGTCTATTTTAGCTATTTTCACAGCATTATGTCATACGGAATTTTGCTGTGGGGTCGAGCTGCGGAAGTAGAATCAATATTTATTCTTCAAAAGCGGGCTATCCGAGCGATATATAACTTGCCCCGTCGCGAATCTCTGAGAGAACTATTTAAAACGATAAATATCCTGACGGTGCCTTGTCAGTTTATATATGAAAATATTATGTATGTAAGGAAAAATTTTCAATTATTTGAAAAAAGAAGCGATAGACATAATTTTAATACAAGAGGCAAAGATAGGCTGGCTGTGCCACGATTCCGTCTGTCCAAGGTACAGAAATCCTTTATGGGGTTCTGTGTAAATTGTTACAATAAAATTCCAAGTACTGTATTGAATCTTAACGAACGAAAATTTAAAACTTATATTAAACGTGAATTGTGTAGACAGGCATACTACAAACTTTCAGATTATATTGAGGATAAGAATGCCTGGCAGCATGTTGATTCGGCTCCACTGGACAATACTCAAATATAGTCAGCAGTTAGGTAAAATTCTCAAAAATAATGCATCCTTAATTTATATATCCAAAAAGTTTATATAGAAGCACTCTTAAAGATTGTGAGTACGCATATGTGAGCGCCATGTTCGAGACGACAAAGGAGTAAAATTTTATGATAGGTCCCCTCATTTGTTCTTTTTTTTAACAACTTGTCTCTGCATTGTTCTCACATAAGGGTACACTAATGTATACTATAAATTTTATATTATTGAAATTGTAAAACAATTTAAAAAAAAAAAGAGTAACAAATGGAGTTTCTTGCTCGTTCTTCTCCATTCGAATCTACAATTTGGAATGAGCACCTAGCTTCACTGACGAACAGACTGACAGACTACTTTTCTATTTTGACGTTTCAAAAGTACCTATTTATGGTTTAATTGGAATAAATGATTTTGACTTTGACTTTCCTACAAGAGCATTGCATTCTGTGAGATATTAAGAGTTTAAGGATAGAGGATTGGTACATCAATATTCTGAGTCATATGGCAATACACAAGCCAAACATTATTCTGTGTCATGGTATCACTCTTGTCAAGCCAGCTCATTTGCGTGAAAGCATGCTCTCATGCTCTCCCATACATAAAAAATAGTTTAAGTATTGAGTAATAATTTTCTATGTACCACAGTCAGACTCTTGTAAGCTACAGAATTCGTATTTTAAGTGAAATTTACACTATTTAAGTGTCTATGGTAGCACGGTTTTAATACTAAACCTGTTGTGTGCATTATAAGTGCAATATAAACAGATATTTTTTCAATTTCTGGCAAAACATGATATGTTATGGATTAAGGTGGTAATAAAAACTTCTTTTTAATTCTTTATGTCTTGTGTTTTTGTGTCTTATTTAGATTATGAAGATTAGTTTAAAACATTTAGTCAACAAACCTTGGATCACGAATTTCCTTCTTCTTTACAGTTGGTATAGCTTGCAACATACGGACAGGTTTCTTAGAGCTCATCTCACGTGGTCTATTCTTATTTTCCCTCTTAAATATTTTTGGAGCATCACTCTCTTTTTTCTTGCCAAACAACGCTTCTTTGTACACTTTGGCACCGATTTTCTCTTTTAGTTTTTGTAACTCCTCAAATGATAGCGTCGACAGTTGTGATCTAATTTCGGTCTGGAAAATAAATGTGTATTTTTATTTAATCTGAGACATGAATTAACCTTTGTGGGGTATAAAATGAATATCACTTGTATCCTGGCTTACCCTTTCCTCATCCTGCTCTTCGGCGCTATAATTTTGGTCCGATTCATCACTACTGCTCATTTCAAAGATATTTTTATTCGTTTATTCACAATTTTAATAACAACCACACAACGTAAACAATCTTTTAGGTTATAGATTTTTTTGACACTGACACTGACGTTTGCTGACGTCTGTTGAGTAACGTTCAGAAAGGACAATGTTATTTCAAGGGAAAAGTAATTAATACTATGTACATTTATCACAAAACTCTATCTTTATGTATAATACATTTAGTAATTAGTATGTATTGATTTTAAATTAAGTTTGCTATTTTTTAAGCTTTAAAAATGAGTCAGGGTGTGCCAATCTATCACGTCATGTCATGTAGTACAATTATTAATAAAAAACTTCCAAGTCTAGTGTAAAAAGTAGACAGAGAACAGAGAATAGAATACCTCTATTCTCTGTCTACGTGTAAAAACAAGTTTTAGTTTGTGGCACTATATAGAAAAGATCACAATGACGCAGTCTTGTCAAAATAATAAGTGACAAAAATATGAATGGGAACAAAATGGAAAATCAAAATCACTGAATAATGTTTTATTAGACTAGGTTGGTTCATCAAAACGGCCCTGCTGTAAAAAAAATAAGAAATGGTAAATTGATAATAATGGATTTAGACGAAGCAATTACCGTTACAAAATTGATGATACAAGGGGATCCTTGTTACCTAATGGTTGGGTGGCAGTCTGATTCATTTGAAGTTTATCTTTTCAATAAAGAGCAGCTATGGAAGGGACGCTTTTCGCCAAATCGACTGATGGGTTTTAGCCGTAACTTACACATGTCTGAAGTTGCATACTTTGCGAATGTAAGAAGATGTTTATCCCAGCCAAGAGAAGACTATATTTACGAATTAAAAAGTGGTTTTTTCTATTGGAAACGAAAAATTAAAGGATCAATAGTAATAGAAGGATTTTTGCCGATGGAACTTGATTCTGCGCCGAAAAACGCTCATCCAGATTTAATAGAAGTTCTTGTGGCATTAAACAAACACATGAAACAAAAAGTTCATACCCTTAAATCTCGGTTCCAAACAATCAAGTCAGATTATCAAAAGTGCTTGCGAGACACCGAAGAATTTTTGAACTTAAAAATTGAAATGGAAAAGGCACTTTGCGATAAGTTTCTAAGTTTACTAAGTGTGAAAAGATCCAAAGTTAACTCTCTAAAAGTGAGCAAAGCGTATCTAAAGGATCAAGAGATGTTGGATCTTCATTAGTTGTAAACAATATTATGCCAACATTGCCTCTGATGGTTACTACAGGAACCTTACCGGTGCCCAGTTCTGGCAAGAATCATTTATTTGTTCCTAAATAAAATCTTGAATACCAAGCAATGAAAAATTCTTTCTTAGTTCAGAAAAGATATCTGTTACATTTTTTTGATATTTACCCGCCGGGCACTTTAATGTGATTGACCAGAGTGAGGATTACCGCTGATGGAAGTATTTTGAACTTTTGCAGATAACACAAAATGGGCAATTTTCAAAAAGAGCTATCCTATAAAACCACACTTTTATAAATTTACAGGAGACATATTATTATTTTGAATTTTGACACGAAAAGAGCCCCTTTTTAATTATCTTAAAAATATTGTGATAAATTGAATCGCTCGTTGTTGTTAATGTTGAAAGATCTTAATTAAATTACCGAATAAAAATGCTAATAACGATTTGAATTTCTTTAATTCCTTTTGAGTAATGAGTAGGTTAGAAATTCTTTGCTACTGAGAAAATAATCATTGCTGGATTGTCGAAAAGTTCCACCGACAACTTTACCCTGCCACATCACTAGATATTTCTGTTTTTGTAAACGACGGTCTGTTGTACGAACAAATTGATGTTACTGTGTTTTTGAGTCCTTTTTATGTGATACACCGGCAAACGCATACGGTTTACCTGATGGTAAGCAATCGACGGCGCCCATGAACACCCGCAACAACGGAGAACTTACGAGTGCATTGCCGACCTTTTGGTTAGGGATTTGGAGATTTTGGGATAGGGAAAGGGCCGACGATAACCTCACTCACAACGTGAAACACAACGCTGAGGTTGTTTCATGCCGGTTTTCTGTGAGGCCTGTGTAGTGTATGGTATCACTCCGGTTGAGCAGATCCATTCCTTGCGAAACATGACTCTCCTAAATTAAAAACAAAAGGTGTCAATAAAAATTCCTTTTTGCTACAGTAGCGCCACCCTTAATTTACATACACATTTCGGCTGAAACGTCATCTATCCTCCATAGTTGAAGTTGAAGAAGACTATCGCCTGTGCAGGCTTATAACTAGTATTATAACTAGTAGTAGGCTTACTACTAGTAGGCTTATAACTAGTAGTGCTTGCTTAGTACTAGTAGGCTTATAACTAGTAGTGCTTGCTTAGTAGATAAACTGTAAATTTGTTTAATAACAAATGCGAAACGATGCACGTAAATGAAATGAGAATAGATAGCTCGGCTAATTTCAAGTCACAACGGGACTCTTATTCATGAGCAGCGTGCGCGTCGCGGCAACGTCGCGCAGTCAACTCCAAAGGTGTATGCTCAATACATTTTGTATGTTTCACGATAGTTAATGTTCAAAAATAGTAAGTATCTAAAATTGTCGGAGGTGTGTCTTCACACCTGAGTATATCTACCTAATAATTATTTAAATACCAAATTTTTTGTATTTCATAAAAGAACAATAAGTTCTTTAAATATTATTCTCAAAATTAATTAATTTATGCTTCGTTTTTAATTTTAACAGGCTGTGCAAACATTTGTTGTTTTGATATAGCTACGTATGTGTTTTGCACTTAACCGGAGTGATAGCATGAGTCAACATGACCTCACAGAAAAGAAATGTGAGCACGTGCCATCCGTGGAGGTTTTGGCTACAATCTTCAGGGATGGTCAGATTTCTTAGGTGGATTGGAAATGCAGTTTGAAGGATCAGGTATAAACCTGATCCTTAGAGAGAGAGTAGTAATATGCATTCACTTAGTCAGGGTGAGTCTAATGCCCGTTTTCACCAACAGCCCCTAAACAGTCACCTTAGTAAGGGCCACTTAACTTAGGGGACCGTTCAAATCACCCCTAACTTAAATTTTGTTTCACTGTCCTAAGTGTCACCTAATTAAGAGCCCCCTAATTAGGTGACGTTTAGTGTTGAGGAACTATGCAAACAGTTATCGATAAATGAATCGATTAGACAATTCTATTGTTATTTTCGTAAATAACAATAGAATTTTAAACCTTAAAACAAGTAATTAACTTTTCTAACTTCAATTTATTTCAAAAAGTAGAGTCTTGAACTGGTGAATGTTAGATTAGTAACAAAAAGTTGTGTTTTTATTTTTTGGCTGCATGTTGAATGCCATAGCTTACAAAGACGCGGTGCCGGTGACATTTTGATGCCACTATCCAGTGACAGTTTCATTTCAATCATTTCGTGTATTTTCAAAAAATACCAAATTTTTATTAATTACAATGGCAGAAAAGAGGAAACGTGGTCAAAATTTTTCACTTGAAGATAAAGAATGTTTTTTATCCTGGCTAGCGTGTCACCACATCAGTTATTAATAATTTTGCAGTACCTACTTATTGTTTGCATATTAATAGACATACTGCCTTTTCTATTCCGGAATAGTTCGGCATCATCTCCTCCTATAATTTATCACATGAATAAATGTAAAGAAGGTTTCTAGTTAATCAATCTAATACAATTAAAAGACTTTTGAATATCATTATAAGAGGCATCATAGAAAGACGATAGGTGTGCGAACGACGGTGTTCGCTGGAGGCTCAATAAACATGACACAAAGATCTGCCGTATCTGTATGTGTGCGTGTCTATCCATCTTATTAAATCATGTATTATTTCATAGGAGATTCAGTAATAAATGGTTACTCGTAAGGACCTGTGTTTCTCTAAACGCCCAACCTTATAATTGAATTTTTATGTGTGTACAGTCTATACATCCTAAAACATTTGGAAATCGAGCTATTCTGTAAAATTCTTCTTTTACTATTTGTTGTTTTTCTTCGGTGTCTGGAAATTGTATGAATTCGCTTTGCCACGACCCACGATAGCGTCAGACACTCTTTTTATAATTCTACTGCAAGTAGATACACTGATGGGATTGAGATCTGCTACAGATATTAATTGATTGCCTGTTGCATAAAATCTAAGGCCACACAGTAATTGGTTAATCGGTGCCACAGATTTATTTCTTTAAATACAAGTAAGGTTGAGCAGGGAACCTGTATCTTATGAAAAAGTCTTTTTCATCATATATTTCAAAATCTTTCGATCTTTCACGATAAATACGAGGTCGTCTATACAAATGTCGGTTACCTACTTAACAATTCCATATCCTCAATTGCTTAAAATCTTCAAATAAATAGTGGTTATTATCCATTTTTATTATTTTTTATCTTATTCAGTAGGATAAAATACTGTTTGGTGATTCGCAAAATAACCTAACACTATGTGTCACTTAAACGTTACGGGGTCGTCAATTCATCCCCTAAATTATAAGGAACCCCTAATGATATAGGTGACACTTACACGTTGGTGAAAACAAAACTCGCGATAAGTGCCCCTTATATTGGCTTAAGAGACACTTAAATTTTAGGGGCTGTTGGTGAAAACGGGCATAAGGTTCCCATCCTATCACTCGACGAAAGAAATATATGAATGCGCGATACAAAAAAATTGAAGCTGGCAGTTGAAGACGTCGGAATAGGATGGCAGCATGACAGAAGTCAGCTGGAGATCGGTCTTTTTTTATTTGGGATAGTAGACACAACCATGAAAACACCGGAACACTGAAGTTCGGCGCTTCCCAGGAACATGAATGACTGTCTTAGATCCCGCAACGAAATAAATCAGAAGATATTATTTGAGGAGAAAAAAAATAAACAGTGTCAAAAAAAAAAATTGTATTGTAATTGTAATGGGACCTATGTGTGAGCTGCTATAGTTGTTTCCAGTAGTAGGTATGGCAAAAACGCCTAAATGCACGGAAATTTGTTCTGCATTCTACAATGTCTGTATAATAAACTTCACCAGTTCAGACATTTAAATTATCTAACATAATGTTACTTTCGTATTGCCAGAGACTACACTTCCAGAGTATATGATGGGCCGACTGCTCGTATT